TTCTTTAAACATATTGTTCCAGTAGGAATGGTTAGAAATGTCTGTGGGTTGATGACAAATAAAGCATTGGAGCAACAAAAAAAAAAAAATTCAGAATTTTCTGAAGTGTTAAAGCAAAGTTTAAAAGGAAATATATTTGAAAAAATATTTGATGAATTCATGGAATCTTTTGTTGTCCATTAGTGACTAGTTCTTCAGTCAGACGGTTCTTGTTCTTGTGACTCTGACATCAGTCTCACGGATCGTAGGTCATTTACAGGGGAAATTGAATCAATTTACAAATGAGAACACTGCTATAACCGCCGCAGAAAAACAGCTCTCGTTGTATCTTACACAGTGCACGATCTGAGGAAAGAACCTGTGACAATGTGATATTTTACATCTGCTTCACTGTAAACACAGTAAAAAAAAGGGCCTGGGAATTCAAAGTCCTCTATCGTCGATTCACTGTACGTAAGCTTTTCCTTCAGAACCTTCCTCGTGGAGCCGTTTTTCTCTTACGAAAACAGCAGATGACAGATTAACGATGGGAAACTCTGATAATATTTCAAACCCAACAAGTGCTGTATACAGTGTCTGCAATTTTATGCTGTTGATTAAATTTACATGTAATTTGCTATATATGGTTAGCGTGTTGGATTAAAAACAAGATCGCAATAACTAATGAGAAGTCTCTTAGAATTTCTCAGAATTTATTCAAAGATAAAAATAGATGGTTTGGAAGAGTTCATAATACCATATACTTAAATCCAACAAGGACAATCCATCGGTACCAGACTGGCTTCATCGAATTCAAATTCCGATTGACCATCACCACACGTTCGTTTGTCACCATTTGTCACCTACACCGCCACTTGACCTCGGTGTCGAAGTGCACATCAGTCAGGCTCGTCTCAAGTAAATTTCACACCACTTCCAACAGTTCATAGCTAATTTGTCAGAGTGGATAATCATTTTGTTCTTCTGCTCTGTCAGATGATAGGGAGTCCATTCTCCTCACTCCACTTCGACAGGGAAATGCAGATTTCTTTTGTCTTCCGAAGCCGCAAATGACAACGCACAGATGTGAGGGTAACCACGTATGTGTTCCCCAACAGCGTTTAAGATGGAACTGACTGGAGGCGCTACGTTGGCTACTTTTGTTACCTCGCCTCTCATTGGGGTCGCAACAGTGGTAGTGTGCTTATTGATTTGTATAGTTTTCATGCCGGCTGCTTTCAATGACCCAGCACTTCCTGTTGAGTTCAGGAGTTGGGTGTTGGATGGAATTGAACCTGGAGCAACTGCGTACAGGTAAGACGTCTACCGTCGCACAACGGCCACGAGCACTGCCAATTATGGCTACAGGAAATAGAACAGAAAATGCTCAGTTATCTATTTCCTGTTGTTTGCTCTTATGGCTAGTTCATCCTCTATCGGAATTCTACTAATGTGCTGAAAAGCTCCATGGATTTCTATTGTTCACATTCGCTGATTTATCCAGAGGGGCCAAATTTTTTTTTTTTTTTTTTAGCATCTTGAAGTTATTTCCAATGAAGTGAGATGTGACAAGGCAAAGGTGTGCTTTTATCTCGGGACATTGGGAGTATTTATGAATGAGGCATCGACTAATAACATCTGACATTTGGTCAATGCCTCCAAGGTAGGCTGCCCTCACTGAAAAGTTCAAATTGTCAGCAAGAATGTGCAGCCTGTGTGTGTGTGTGTGTGAGAGAGAGAAAGAGAGAGAGAGAGAGGGAGGGAGAATTTAGGCTTGTTTTTCTGTGGGAACTCTGCCAAAAAACAGGGAGGCCGGGTTTCAAAGTTTGAGGGGGTCAGACTGCTCCAGAGTGAGAAAGTTCTGCTTTTCATTACATCAAGCCATATGTCCACATATCTGTTCCTCCTCCCAGACTTCTCTCTGTTTCCTGGAATTGTTATGTCAGTGCAGTGATCCAGTCCCCCCCCCACCCCCCCACTCCACCCCTTCTGTGTCTCCCTTACTCCTCAAATCTAGATATCAGTGTGAGCATGTCTGATTGTGTGTGATTAAAGGGGTAATAACTCTACGGGCTGGCAGGATCATGGGGCCTGAGAAAATGAGACTTTCCAGAGTTGCATTCCGCTAACACAGAGTGCATTTGAATAATGCTGCAATATTCTCCAGAGAGACTGACCAGCAGGGCAGAAAGGAGTCAAGAGTTTAGGTAGGGTGGGGGAGATCTTGTGCTCTATTTAGCAGGATAAATTTGCGCAGCTTTATGTTCCCTTTAATCTTGATCTTATTTTCTTTTCACTCTCAGCGAACCAATTTAACTCACTTGGACAAAGGCTGTGCTCGAGTGTTTTTGGAACAATCCCCGACGCGAGGCTCCATTAGGTGGCGTTATTACCACTACATTATCATTACATCTACATGTAGTGTTTTATGGGTTCCGAAGAGGCTACGCAGGCACATTCGGCAAAGGTCATTTCATCTTTCACAGTGTGCACAAAATAGAAGCGGGAAATTATGTGTGACACAATTCAGTCCGATGCACATTATATTATTAACTGATAACATATGTTCTGGCGTTTGACCACAAGGACAAGTGACTTTGACTTTCGAGGATTTTCCAAACACAGACTTTTGCTTGGTTGTGAAAAAAAGTTTTTTATCAAGAGACTTAAACTAAGTCACTATAAGACTGTGGACTGTGAACATGAATATATGGAGCTCAATTTGTCATTACATTAGCAACTTACATTGTGATGGACAGTGACGCAGCTATTGTGTTAATGTCCTGCAAGTTTGTAGTGGGACTTTGGAGAGTTGGATGTATTCCTGCAGTTACACCCATTCACCCACCCACCCACAGTCCCACACACATACACAAACACATTTTTATCCCACTCTCGACAAAGTGCTTGCTCAGTGTACAACGTTGTGTTTTTCTTATCTTTTTAAATGCTCTACAACAGTGTTTATCAAACTTTTTTTCTGGGGACCCTTTCACAAACTTTTGCATCCCAAGTCAATAGACACATTCTTTGTATATCCCAAAATAAAGGTGTACATTATTGAACATTAATGAGGATATTTTATTGTGGACCGAGTGATATCTGAACAACTAGTATTACTCAAGTTTTGAACATAACCACAGGTGGCGCTTTTAAACAGGCAGCTATTTAAAGGTTGGATGCAGCCAGCTGTTGCGATGACCGTGAACTCCTGGGAAACATGATGCGAAACGACCCCCCCAAAAAAACCTCTAGAACCCTCCTTAGGGTCACGACCCAGACTTTGGCAAACAACGCTCTACAATAATTACAAATTCAATATAGAATAGAATAGCCTTTATTCTCCTTGTACAGTGTACAACGAGATTTGAGCGCTACTCACATATATATAGGACTAACTTAGACAGATGTTATTCTTTCTTCTTTAAAAAGTTTACGACAGTTATCGTCATATCTTTGTGGAAGGATTGAGCTTTTCTTCCTTTTCGTTTTTAACACATAATAATAAACACTATTAAAATGAATGCAGACCATGACCCAGTTGCAAGAACATTGGGCTTGTTACCATGTTGTGATATGTAGTGCATCAAAATAGCCTCCCACCGTGGACGCTCCTGAGAGAACCCACTGTTCCCCAGGTGTAGGTTAAATGCAGAAGACAAATTTAGTATTTGGTTTTTATTTTATTTCACTATTATTTTACCAGGAATATTCCCACTGAGATTCAGAAAGTGTTCTGCAGGGGGCTCTGGCTTTATTTATATTTTATTAATGTTCTCAAAAAGGAGATTTTATCATTTTGTCTTAGAATTCTTGGTTGTACGTGTATTTTTTGGGGAGGGAGATGGTGTATATCGTTTTCACTTCCAAACTGTTAGGTCCCTCAAAGCAAATGTGTGTTGTGAGCTTGAGCTTTACAGCACACACACACCTATATATAAGTATATATATTAAAAGACATCAAAACTGCTAAAAGTCCAGTACTCAGGCGTGTTGATAGGTCGTCAAATCTGAACTGCTCCTCGGGGGCCATTTCTTTTGTCCCGCTGACTGTATGAAGAGTCAGTAGTGGGTGGATTAGTCACATGGTCACTTTTCCTTTTTTCACACACAAACACACCCACATCCTCCTCCATCCAAGCGCTCGTCTCCAACAACTCTGCCCTCTCTCTCTCTCTCTCTCACTCCCACTCCACCAGTGTCTCTACTGTAGCTGCACTAAAGTTGCGCCGTGGAGTCTTTTCCTTCCAAACACCTTTATCTGCTCCAAAATGGACCTGGCTGCAATATAAAGACAGCATTGCAGGGACATTTACGCCACATTACCCGGAGAAGAAGCCAACACTTTGTTTCAGGTAATTTACAACCGTTACGATAGTTTATCTTGCCCGTGTGCGCGTGGGAGTTCGCTTTGTTTTAATACGAAGCCCATTCAAAGAAGTGGAAGTTCGCTCAAATTATCTAAACTCTCGCGGTATTTCCAGCCGTTATTACGTTGTTGTAAAGTTGTATTATACGCCTGTTTTTATCCTCGCTTGGATAAAACGCTGCTCTATGTGAGTTATTCTGCTTAAATGTGTTGAATGAGCGTTGATATTCTGGTTTATACCGGTTATTTACTAGTTTACAGTGGTGAATTCTCACACCGCCACCCACTCTCTCCACCCCCACAGCCATCCATCCAGGTAACAGGGTGACGATGATGGCGCAAACTGTAATTCAAATTCCGGCGACTTCACACTTAGTTCACCTTTGTTTACTGCTGGTATTTGTTCCCAAGACGTAGCCTTTGAATTACAAGTTGTAAGGCAATGTTGTGTCGAAATTATATTCACTTAATCTCGCTTGCCTGTCCTTAGTCAACCTTTATTAACAATAATGTTTTTTTTTTCACCAGAAAAGTGAATTTACTTTGTTGCATTGCAACGTTGGCGATTTGTTTGAACCTTATCAGGTCCAAGGTCATAGAAAAAACACAGAAAATACGAGATATTAAGCTAAACAAATTAAGCTCTTTGTAATAAGAATGTAGTTTCTCACAGTACACTTTATACTTTATGGCAACTTCTTGCTACATGTAATACAAGACGTCTTTTGTTCTATGGCAAAGAACCAAGTAAATTTGTCACCAAGGTTACGATAACGTGTGCTTCTTTGCATGAACCGGGCTTATTCACTAGACATTCTTTAGATTAAATATAGATTGGCAAAAATAACCGTACAAAATTCACCCAGACGCGTGTTTAATTTATTTTTGTGGTAATGAAAAATTGGTGTAATGTTTGAACAGTGCTAAAATTCCACTAAAGGTATTGTTCCTGTTTGTTCTTTTTTTTAACAAATTAACCCAAATATTACTTGTATTGTAAATAGTGACTTTTCTAATCTCACTGTAGAGTACAGTCAAGCTAACAAGGTTTTAGCCTCATCTTCTTCAAGTGTTAAAATTTGAGGTCAAAGTAACACATTCAACAGAAGTTTTTTTCAAAGTTTTTTTCTGACCAATCTGCTTGCAAAGGCTAACCCTTTATGGGGATTATCCTTTTATACAAACCCTTACAAAATATTTCTTATGTGTGAATCTTTATTTAGGTAAATGGTTTATTTTGGCTTATAACAATCCATTGAATGGTTGTCTAAATCATTTTTTGTATAAAATAGAAAATATATTATTTATTTGTTATTCTAAATGAACCAGCAGGACTGGATACACTTAAAGTTCTGTGCATGTAAAGCTTTTCTAAAGCTTTTTCTTTGTCGCCATTTCTTATAAGAACAATGTTTTGACATTTCATATAGTGTCTGTATATAATTAGGCTAATGGAAACAATTTAGGATAGGTATACAAATAGTCTTGTTTTAGTTAAAGTCTTACATTTCTGTCAGTTCAAAGTAACACCCACTGCTGAAGAACAGATCTGCCAGTGGATTCAAACTCAGGCGTGATCTGTGCTTTTAAACACACGGGGTTGTGTTGATGGGAGGCCTATTGTCAGCAGAATTTATGTCCTTTTAAACAGAAACAGAAGAAGGTGGACCTAAGCTCAGCTTGGGGCTCTGGGCAATTGACTACTTTGCCAGCCTGTTGCAGTACTCCTGCCACAGAGTTGAGTAGGGCCATAAATTGTGCACGGTAAAATAGACTAAGTCATTGAGTTGGAAAAGTAAAGCCTAAGGAGTACAACAGAAACGGTTTGTTTTTAGAGGGTGACTTCACTGCTGGAGAACATTTCTCTTTATAACATTGGCAACACTGGTTATGATTGGTCCTCAATTGTGAGTTGATATGTTTCTCCATTGGAATTGTTAATATTGTGAATATGTAGGTTTGTTTAAATTGTTTATTGATGCTATTGGAAACATACTGAGGAAAAACATCACAGAATTTGAAGCCAAACTTTGCAGAGATTTAACGGGAGGCAAAGATTTGTATACAAATGGAGCAATCTGTAATTCTGAAAAGAAAGTATTACATCTTTTTGTCATTAGACTGTTCTGGTGCCAAAAATAATAACCATACTTTTACTGTGTTCAAAGCAGCTGTGACTCAGCCGTCATCTTTGAACACACAGCAACATCAATCACCATAAAACACTGTACTCCTTCTCTTTTGTGTCTGTGTAATTACATGAGTCACCACTGCAGCCATCTACCCATCAATCCAGCAACCTTTCTGACATAAGAGCACCCGCTGGTTTGACAGTGTGAACTCATGGTTATCTGCGATGTCTTGTTGTCTCATGTCAGATCATCGAGGACAGGCAACAGGCAGTGCAACAAGGACATGAGTCTCGTGGACGTGAGACAGGCAGCAGGGTCACTGACCCTGCCACTGTCCGTCAATGACCCCAAGGAGCAGAACTTTGTCCACGTGAATGAGAACGATCCAGAATTCTTACGCGGCAAGAACATGTCGCCAGACCTGAGGCAGGACTTCAACATGATGGAGCAGAAGAAGAGAGTCACCCAGATTCTGCAGAGCCCTGTATGTAGCCCACGACTCTGAATAAATGCCCACCTACACACACACACACACACACATGCTTTCACTCTATATGAGCAGTAAGCAGCATTTTTAGAACTGGAGAGACGAGATGTACCTTCACTGTAGACAAACAAAACAGATGAGATTTGTTTTCCCTGTTTTTATGGCTTTTTTATATTTATTCGTTTATTTTTTATTGGCCATCCTAAGGTTGGGTATGTGTTCAGCTGGGATTTAGTTGATGGTTGGACTTGGTTATTATCACACATCTAGTTTATTTACTATTCAATTCTATCTGTGTAGCCCAAATTCACAAAACACATTTGTCTCTATGGACTTTACAGTGTGAAATAAGAATTGAATTAAAGCAGGATAAAAGTCACACACTGAGCAAGCAATTTTGCAACAGTGGGGAGAAAAAAAAATCACTTTCCATTTTAACTCTTTAAACTGCATACAGTGATTGTTCAGTGACTTAGCTTTTTAAAAAAAAAATATTTATACAAATAAATGCACCCTGCAGTTCACTAGTGCTACAAACTGAAACCGAGTGAATAGGCAACCTCCAAAATCCCAGTGCGATTAAATCATCACCTCTTTAACACAGTCACAGACATGAGCGTCGTAAGGTTAGTCAATCTGAACTGCTTCACTTTTATCTTTTCTGGGCATCTGTCAAATATTCGTCTGTGTGTTGTGCCATGTCAGATATTATCTGAGGATATAAAAATAACATAAACTGCGATGAGACACTAAATAAGTGTTGTCAGGTTTAATGGACTAACAGAAGGTTGCCGTAAACACATGCCATTGAAGTGCGCTGCACTAAGACGAGCCCACACTCATCTGTGGTTGCATAACAGGACCAACAAGTAGCCCTCATCTCATCACCATGGGAACAGTGGTGGGAAGAAGCAGAATGTTGGTGCTGAGCTGTAGCAGCACACAAGAAAATAGTCTAGTGAGTTTTAAAACCATGACCTGCTGTTTCTGCAAGAAGAAAATCCTTTCAAAAAACACAAATGGCCTTCAGGGGCATGTTAATAAAGACAATCTGAGGAAATTCTGTGCTTTCTGACACGTCCCAAGAAAGTGTAACCATTTCTTGGCACGGCACGACTTTGCCACACGTGCACAATCGCGTTAAATACGTCTCCTGCCACCTCCGCAAAACTCTTTGTCTGCGTGCAACGTGATTGACAGCGAATCACCGCCTCGCTCAGTCGACAACTGAAGACATTGGTGAGGGCTGACTATTTTGAAGATAGTTCACAAAGAACAACACTGTCATTGAATACTTGGTTTGTTTATGCCTCAACAAATAAGTCAGTTTGAACCATTTTGTGTTTGCTAGTTTTTGCTAATAACATGTCTTTAGCTTCATATTGGTTTAACTGAATTTTACAGTAATGGTTTCAACGTTTGACCTCTACCTCAACCTGAAAGTAATTTCTTTAATCTGCAGGTGTTTAAGGACGAGCTGGAAGGGCTGATCCAGGACCAGCTGACTAAAGGCAACAACCCCACTGGCCTCTTGGCCCTGAGGCAGATCGCTGACCTGGTCATGGCGAGTACCTTGGGTGGAGCTGGTCCTCTGACATCACCCTTCAGTGAGTGGCAGCGTGTAGACTCTGTGTGCATTGTGCAGACTCAATCGCTTCATTGTCACCAAATAAAGTCCCAAGATTCTAGTGACACTAAATAACCCTAAAGCAGGGGAAAATACAGCAAACGGCTCACAAAAAACGTCATTGTATTTTTTATTAAGTTACCCTCATGACCAGTGTTTCTAATGAAACACAGTGATCTGCGGTGCTAATCATCTCAACATAGCCTAGGTGGAGGGTTTTTTTTGTCAAGGTTCTGCGGAACAGCCTGAAACTGAAAAAAGCCGTCAAACACGAAAAAGATCAAAAATGTAAATGTTTGGATAAAGACAGAAAACGGCTCTGCATTTGTGAAAAAATGTTTTTTTTAAAACTGGTTGTAAATGTTGGGCTCTTGTATCATCAAATGTCCTTATATGGTCTTCCAGTCTAAAATAACCCTAAGAAGAGACTGGTGCTTTTTTAAAACCTCAACTTTAATAGCTCCACTTCACAGGGATGGGAAAATACTTTAATAACCTCAAAAGATAGTGGAGAAAGTATTGATTCTACATGGTTGACAATTCTCTGTGTTTTTTCTCTTGCCAGGTTTTGGGATGGTGAGTCCAGTCAATGATCTGTATGGTGCTGAGACTCCGTCCTACACTAAAGGGGAGAAATCCAGCCGTTGCAGGCTGGCCAGCCTCTACAGGCTTGTTGACCTCTTCAGCTGGGCTCGTTTTACAAGCTCCTACATTACAGTGAGTACATCTTCTAAGCACGCTCCAGAGCACACCTGTTTATGAGTGCAGTGCAAGAACCGCGTGCCATAAAATGAGCCACGCAGACTTCTGTAAAACACTGCCATTAATTATGAAATATCTACCTAGGAAAATAAGAAGTATGGCATTGCAATGGAGCCTATCACTGAAAGAAGGATCAAGAAAGGGACGCAAAAAATACAGCTTCATATAAGGCAGAGATTGTCAAGTGCCGCCTCACAGGCAGCATCTAAAAAATCAATAACTGAGACTTTAATAACTCGCAGTAATTCCTACCATTTCTGACTCCATTTGAAATTTTATTTGAATGTCCAGCTTCCAAAGTGTCTGTCCAGAAAAATTCTGGCCCTCTGACAAATATAGTTGGTGAACCCGGATATATGGGTTCAGAGTGCCTCCGGTGTCGTGTTTGGTGTCACTGCTTTGAAACACGATCCTGCCACACTCGCAAACGTCAAAGTGTAGGGGACATATATGTAGATCTACATATACATACATGCTGTCTATAGTCCAATACAGTTCACAGCTTTGAATGAACATCATTCTTCAGAGTTTGATTTCCTTTAATTGTCCATTGAATTTCCAACTTGTTCCAAATTTTTGCTGAAAATTTATTTTCAGCAAAGACCAAAATCCTCTGCTTTTATCCTTCTGTTGATCATTCAAACAGCGCTAATCTTCGGCATTTTCAGATTCTCTCTTTTATATTTATATCGTGCACAAAAGCCAGTCGCAACGAAAAGAAAATTTGCTAAAAATATTCAATTAAAGAAAAACAGAGATCAGCTTTGTCGGCCCTAATTAAAAACTGCAGGACTTTCACATGTTATAAAGACAAGCCTCTGCCATTGTGGCAAAATTAAAAAACGATTAGCACTTGGACATTTCGGAAGGTTATATTGAGTATTAAAATGAATGATGTTTTCTATCTCTCTCCTGTCTTAGGTGCGGGTGAGTAAAGAGCAGGACCACGTCCTCATCAGTCCACGGGGTCTGTCCTTCGCCGAAGTGACTGCAGCAAACTTGGTGAGCACAATAGCAGTTGGGTTGTCATGAGTTTTTACCACAGGTAATAATCTGACCTAAATCACACCTGACACTGACACCTTCCTCTTTCTACTCTTAGGTGAAAGTCAACATAATCGGTGAGGTGGTGGACCAGGGTTCTACTGATCTGGCCATTGACCACTTTGGATTTGGCCCTCATGCTGCCATATACTCCATGCGTCCAGATGTGAGGTGCATCGTCCATATACACAGCCCTGCCACGGCCGCTGTAAGTGCACCTCAGGCACATGTTCAATAAGCCTCACCGCCATCAAAGGGCTAAAGCTGCCGCTAAATGCTTATTTTCTTCCAGAGGACAGGCCTTGAATTAAAAGCAGCTCCTCTGTCTGCAGTCACTTAAGAGGCAGACACCCTGTACCGTGCTCTTACTATTTCCTTTGAAGCTTAGCTGTGAAGTGAACAGCATCATAAATGTTAATTTTTATTTGTGCCTAACAGCAGAAAATGTGCGTCTATTCAGACATCAGTGCATCACTGTCTCTGTTGCCTTTATCCCGCACTAACAGGTGTCCTCGATGAAATGTGGAGTCCTGCCCATTTCCCAGGAGGCTTTGCTTCTGGGAGACGTGAGCTGCTTCGGTTACTATGGCAGCTTGGAAAATAAAGAAGAGAAGGTGGAGTTTCAAAAAGCACTGGGACCGACTGCCAAGGTACTGTCATACCAGGGAACTCTATTAGTGCAGACTCATTTCTGTGTGAGCACGCTTTAAAAAATGTTGTACATGTTTACTGTTAGCATTCGCTGTTCACCAGACCATTAGAGGTCATATTAAGATATTTTGAATTGGACCACGGATAAAAAGAAAAAGTACTGTTTTTGTAATCACATCGTCAAAAGTCACACGTTCAACGAGCATAAAAACAACCATTCATCATCACACTGCTGCAGCACCAGTTCTACTAAAACAAGTCACATTTCACATGCTTTTCTTCACATTTTCTAGATGTGGGCTGACAGTGTTGGGTAGAAGTCAGGGTTATTTCTAGACTTCTGTGCAGAACACTGCCAAAAGCAAAAGAAGAAGTTGCCCCAAAAGTTGGGTCAGGGAGCTATGGTGCAGTTTTTGGTATCAAAAACCTAATTTATGCACCGCTAATTAAGATAGATATGTATATTTCCCAATTATGCTGCAGATTTTAAAAAGCAAATTAGGAGAAATTAGATGAATAAATATCTTGTCTGTGGGAATTCTATTAAAAAAGACCAGGGGTTATTACTGATGGGAATAAGATAAGATTCCTTTACTATCATTGTACCACTTAAAATATAACCATAAAAACCATCACTTTTGATCAGTAAGGAGAAAGAGGAAGTTCTGTTGATGCTTTTTTTTGAACAACTCTATTGTTTCTCTGTGGCGCAGGTGATGATCCTGAGGAACCATGGGCTGTTGGCTTTGGGAGAAACAGTAGAAGAAGCTTTTTACTATGCCTACCACTCACAGCAAGCCTGTGAAATCCAGGTATACGAAGATTGATTTTTACTTTAAGGATTATCGGCCAATGAAATGTACCAGCACTGCACAGATCTGAGTGATTTATAAAGTAAATACTAACACTTATCTGTATGTATGATGGAAAAACAAATGTAAAATCAATGTAAGCCATAGAGTATGAACAAAGGGAAAGCAGAGTTCACTGTTCACAGTCGGTACCAGGTGGAGCCCCCCCGCGGTGCTGCTCGCACTCTGTGTCATCTTGAAGGTTCTGGAAAGTATCTGCTCTTGTTTCTGTACAGTTGTTTCCTGCATTACTGCAGTTCTGTAAAAATAAATAAGTATACTACTGTGTAATTTATTTTAAGCACAAGATTTGCTTTGTTAAATAGTGCATCAAGATTAAATTGTCATAGCTTCGAGTGACTATTGGGAGACAGAATTGAAACTAAAAATAGTATGTGGAATATATTTTCAACTCTTTTAGGTCGATGCTTTGAAGTGTGCAGGCGGCGTGGACAACCTCGTGCTTCTGGACAGGGAGAAGTTTAAACCCCTGACCCAGGGAGTGGCCACCGCCGGGGTGGTTGTGGACAATGAGGTTAAATGGAAAGTGGGCGAGGCCGAGTTCGAGTCCCTGATGAGGATGCTGGACAACCTGGTTAGTGAACCTTGACCTGTGACTTTTAACCAACAAGCTCGGGGTTTCCTGTTACAGGGGCTTTCACGGGAAGTGTCTGATTAGTCAACAAATTGAAGTGCAATGTTACGATTATTTTTCTTTGTCGAAAACATACGTGTCAAACTCAAGGCCAGGGGGCCAAATGCGGCCCGCCAAGCTGTTTTGTGTGGCCCGCAAGTCCATGCAGTTTCTTAACCTGAGAAATTAAAATATGCTATGCTATGAATAAAGTAAATTAGTAAAAAATTAAGTACTTTTTTTTACTATGTCCCACTGCGGCCTGGTACCAAATGACCTATGGACTGGTACTGGTCCGCAGACCGGGGGTTGGCGTCCCCTGATCTATACAGTCTTCTATTTACAACCGGCCCTTCAATACGAACTGTATTGCTGATGTGGCCCCCTGGTGGAAATGAGTTTGACAGCCCTGGTATAAATAAATATGAAGCCATTTAAAACAAGCCCTTTCAGCAGTTTACAACAGGTCGTGAGTACTTTTCCGAGGCGCGTTTATTTACAGAGAACATAAGTGAGGATTAGCTGAGCTTAAGTAAGATGAGGAGTCTGTAACTAAAACCTTTTTTTGTTGAAGACTTAGATTGTTTCAGGTGACAGTATGTTTAGTTATTATCTACAAAGATGAGTGGTAGTTAAAGTATTGTTGGTACTCTTCTTGGTGATCAGAACTATAGTAGCTGAGCCAGTGTAGTCCAACATACTGTAATTTAAAACTGGCTCACATCTGTTTTAGAGTTATATTTCTCAAATCCAGTGCACTCAGTGGAGAGATGGAAGTCTGAGTCTGTGTTGTGTTTGTGCGATTGCTCCGGTTTTTTTATGCTGCAATTTTTGAATGTGAGCGATTAGATGCACTTTTGTTTCCCAAGAAATTTTCATCAGAAATACATTCCTGACATTTTGTAGGAAAGAAGTGCTTCCCACTCATAAGTAAATGGGTTCAAACAGTGTTTTTAGCACCCCCAGTAGGTAGGCAGAGGGACAGCAACATGCTTTGTTTGTTTTTTCTTGGCCAACCCACTCTCCACCACTTCTTTATTCTTAAACGTAGCGGTCCTCACCACACATTCTGCTGATAAGCTAAAGCTGGCATGTTCTGCGGCCATCCTGCGTGTGTCTGTACGAGTGAACTGTTCTCCAACAACTCTGACTGGAGTGCAGCTGTGCTAGCTCTGTGCGCTGTAGCTGGCCCGCTCTCTCAATCATAGCTTCCAGATGGCGAGGCCTGCTGTGGGCAGATGGAGCAACCTGCCCCACAATCACTCAGAAAAAGTGCTGCGGTGGAGTCACTTTAAATAAGATTTGGCATTTTCATTCACACGAGGCCATGGGGTGGAAGAAGAGGTTAGCGCTCATTTGCCCCACAGCAATCTGATCCTTGGTCTTTTGTATGGAGTTTGCACGTTCTCCCTGTGTGTCCGTGGGATTTCCCAGGGTACGGGTTTTCACCCACAGTCCAAAAAAACGGAGAACTAGGTTAATATTAAAATAATAATGCTTTACTGTTAATTAACCACGGGTATTAGTGATGCACTGATTGACCGGCACGGATTCTCCAGATTTTGCTTAACAAGTCCTGAATGACAGTCACAAGCTGATAATATGACATTAGCTTAGCACTTAGCGCTTAGTATTTACTATTCAAATGACCAGGCTAAGGTGATCTACCAACATGTTATAATGCATGTAGCTGTATGGCATAATATGATTGAATTCTTACAGTATATGGATACTACTAAACACCATCGAATTATATTTATGTTGTCAAATGTCTTGTCGAAAATAATATCGCACATTCCACTTCAAGGCACGTATTGTTTTTCTTTCCCCAATGTCACTACACTACAAAAGTAATACAAAACTGTAGATATTTTTCTTTTATGCCGACCCGTTGCACAAACCCATTTTCATTTAATACCTCATTCCAGTCACCGAGCACTTTATTTTGAAAGTTGTTGAACTGAAGAGAAAACCCGTGACTGAGTGCAGTTTATGGTGGGAGTGCTTCATGATAACTTATGAAAATGTTTTGGGGGTTTTTTTTGGCGCTGAAGAACTCTTTCCTGTCAATTGAAGGGAATTGATATCAGCCACAAACAGAAGTCAGAATTGGACACAAAATTGCAATGCACCTCTGATGGGTATGAGAGTAAATTGTTGTTGGTCTGTGTGTGGTCCTGTGATGGACTGGTGAACTGTCTAGGGTGAACCCTGTTCGACACCGAAAAGGATCGACTGGTACTAGATGTTAAACGCGTTCACACGCAGTTGAGTAAGACACGTGGTTCAAAGAACACTCTGTGCACAGAGGTCTCCTCTTCCACGGCCCGATGAGATTGCTCTTGTCAGTGAGTGTGATGACATTCCGACACGCAGGAAAGTCACAGCTGACGCGGGGAGGAGACGGGGAATTGAGAGACAATGCTGCAGAATCCACCAAAAAATTCCTTCCCAGACACAGAAGTAAGATAAGAAATACACAGTGTTGCGCTCATAAACCGAACACGTAGATGGAACGGACAGATAATTCTCACCTAAGAACACATGACGAATGTGGATGAAGAGGAAGAGACGCAGTCGCTGAATTTCTCATCTTATTCGCAAGCCATAATCCGACCATCTGTCTGTTGTTTTATGGAAAAGAGTGAGTCACAGGAAAGTCGAAAACAAACAGAGAAATTGATTTTGTCGGAACAGAAACCTGTTCTATAAAAAGCATGTGTATACACTATATATATATAGTGTATCACTGAGTGAGATTTCCTTGGTCTTTTTTATCTTTCCAGTAAATATTATCCAGTCTAATCTGAAGCCAGAGAATCAACAAGAACTCCTTTGTTGATTGGTCCGTGTTTGAGACAGACCCAACATGTGTTCATGAATCTGTTGCTAGAGTTATTTTGTCTGGTTGGGTCGTCACCAAATGCTCTGACCTGACCCCTCACAGACCCCTCAGCAGCATGCAAGTTATCACAACTAACACAATGACGACGACACACCCAAGGGTCGTACGACTACATCCACACAACCTCAACCGTCAGAATAAAAAACAGCTGTTGTCTGATTTAGCGGTGTAAATATGTCGGGTTAGTGAAGGAGACGCTGTTTTTCTTCCAGTCCATCAAGGCAGTAATTAACTTTCTGCATTGTTGGCACAACAATATAAAACTGTCAAAAGAGCTCAGTCATTGCTGCAACCACAAACACCTTGGGTGCTTTCTTCTGCGGTGTGCTGTTTTGGGTTTAAGTTACTGCAGGGAAAAGAAAAAAGACATCTTCACTGAAGTTAACTTTTGATTAAAAAACTGTAGATTGTTGTTAACCTTTTTTAGTTTGTGGCCTCATTTTGACATCCCAAATTTCTGACAAGGAGAATATGTTTTTTATTCCTGTTTGTTATACTGTGTTGCAAAAACAGTAATGCGGTAGATATATTTGATATATTAGATATATTTTAGATATATTTTATTTGAACTCACTTTATATCCAGGAAAGTGAAAAAATTTAGTAGTTTAAAATTTCAATCGTAGTTTTAATGCATTTATTTGAAGTCACTTTATATTCAAAGTGAAAAAATGTATTAGTTTAAAATTTCAATCGTAGTTTTAAAAGTGAAAAAAATTTGTAGTTTAAAATTTCAATCGTAATTTTAAAAGTAGTAATAATTCGTTTAATTAGTAGAAAAAATATTTTTATTAAAGTAGTAATAATTACTTTAATTAGTAGAAAAAATATTTTTATTAGGAAAATGTTTTCTAATCAATTACTAGACATTTCAGGTGACACCATGTGGGGTCTCGACCCCAAGGTTGAAAAACACTGGTTTAAGTCCATATTCACAGTCAGTTGTTTATACGTCAGTTTATAATAATAACAATGACTATAACTGGGTTGCAAACTAACTTTGTTGTGAACACCAAAGTCCAGCTCTCACAGTTGTGAGGCCAACCTATGGTACCGCCTGTGAGGAAATGTCAGTCTTCATTTTGATAATAGAGGCGCAATGACAGCTTCAAACCCGTCAGAAGTTTTCTGGTTGCCCTTCCTGTTCTTTGATGTATTGTTAACAACACGCAGCAGACTCCTCCAAAATCCCAGTTTTATTTTCTCACACTGGGCAGAAGTACTGTTTGTACGCTTATATCAGCATGCCTTAAATATTTAACAGCGTTGGGTAAGTGAGTCTTGGTTGTTGGGAGCGGCCTTTGAATTTAATGCGGTGTACAGCTTCTTCTTCTTTTTTTTTCTTTTGTAGATTCAACGAAAACTACAGAACAATACAGTAACCCAGAGTTTCACCTGATGTAGAGGAAGTGTGTCTGATAACTTTTTCTTCTCGTTTGACCTTCCAGGGCTACAGGACGGGCCACACGTACAGGAACCCTATTGTCCGTGAAAAACCCCGCTCTAAAAACGACGTGGAGATCCCCGCCACGGTGTCTGCGGTGCCGATGGAGGACGGCGGGATGTGTCTGCGTAGCCCCTTCAAGTTTATGGCACAGAAACAGCAGAGAGAAAGAACCCGGTGGCTCAACTCACCCAACAGCTACCTGAGAGTCAATGTTCCCGAACAGTCACCCAGCGGGGATGTGAGCCCCAGGACTAAAACCATGGTGCGTTAATCTCTAGGTCAAAGTTTAACATGAAACTTTATAATCCGATTCCTCTCTGGTTTGATTCCTGGAAGGATACTCTGAGCCTCAAGCTGGAGCCATCATTCTTTAAGATTAGCCTGCCCTCTTGTGGCAGGCATTGTTGACTGCATTTATCGAATTTTGTCTCATTTTTCTCACTCACTTTGTGTTTGTTTTTTTTTTTTATATTCCTTCAGTGGATGAAGTCTTCTCAGCCAGGCAATACCACTGGCACCCCAATAAAGATCGAGGACCCCAATCAGTTTGTCCCACTCAACACAAATCCCACTGAGGTCTTGGATAAGAGGAACAGGGTCAGTTTTTTTTACAACACGCATCATGTCTCACAAAATATTTAAATTTAAATACTGTCATCTAATTAATGACACTTATTCCAATAAACCTACAAATTAGATTTAAATGTTTTTTGTGTTCAATTACTTTTATTATTTGATAATATGTACATTAAAAAAACTTACAGTAGGCATGATGTAGTTGCTGGTTTTTAAACCGTTTACAACAAATATATGTTAATATTATATTAATCTTGATTTTATTTTAGATAAAAGAACAGCACAGAGGGGACCAGATGACTGCAGGTCCAAAGTCTCAGTTACTGGCAGGCATTGTTGTGGACACCATCCCAGGACCGGTGTGTATATCAATCAGTAATTACACTACAGTGTTTTTGTCTGTATATATATACATATATATATATAAAGTATTTATTCGTAATACATTGCGCATATATGTATAAACATACATATATATTTATATATATATATACATATATTAAAGATGCATTTATAAAGGAAGTCTTGTTCCATTATTCGACCTACGGAGTTAAATCTCGCAAACTAGTTTGCATGAAAACCAGTTGGCGAACAAGGAAGAATACATCGTCAAGTGGCGCTATACGCAGAAGACGGCTTTGTTTACATTTGCCTGTTATACACCATACATTGGACTGTGCTATATTGCAATATCTTTTTGCCCTTCAATAAGTGTTAGTCAAACTCGTCTCATATTTTTATGTCCTAGGTCAGTGTTCCTCACACTTTCTTTCTGCGGACCCACATTTTAAAAGTCACAAACCTTCGCGACCCAAGTCAATAGACATTATTCGTAAACGCCTGGGAAACATGATGCGAGACGACCCAGAAAAAAAATCTCTTGCGACCCACCTGAGGGTCACGACCCAGTCTTTGGGAAACAATGTCCTAGATTATATGCTAACTGCTGTGTTAGTGTAGGGGAGGACCATAGGTACTAATGTACAGTATGTACGTTCCGATTTGCGGGAAAAAAAATCAAGTTACATTGCGCCGTAGGAATAGAACTGATGCGAATACCCTCTGTATACAGTACAACTGATATTGTTACACGATGCGTTCAAAAAGCATTCCAGTCCAGAACAGTAATCATCAGTGATTTTCACCACAGTGTGACATTTTCCTTAGAGAGCAGCATTAACAATACAAAGGAAAAAAACACAGCTTTCAACTACAGACAAAACACAGTGTCGTCTGCATAAACATCCTACTGAACTGAACCAGCATCGTGTAGGAAAAAAACCCAAGGGCCAGGTGGGGAAAACTAAACAACTAAAGACAAAGTGTTGTTTGTTTCACAGCAGGTTCCAACCAGCATCTGCCTTTTTGTTATCAGTCAACATTAGTCAACATTACAGTTTCTAGATTCAACACAGAACCAAAGCCAGGCTGAGGCCAGCCAGGATTCCACATGCCGTCTGCAGAATCATCTGTGCGTACAGCTGGGTTAGATCATCCAGGCTGACAGTGTCTGATTTAATGTCTTTTTTTTATTGTTGTTTCCTCTTCGTCAGGCTTTCATCACCGAAGACGAGGAGCTGACTCGCTCTCTTCCTCCCAACCCCTTTAATGAGCTTACAGACAGAGTGCTGGAGGAATACAAGACCCTGGTGGAGAGGAAGCAGAAAGGCCAAGAAGGTGTCCAGTCCTGTTCTTCATAGACTGTGTGAAGTGGTTCAAGTGTTTGTTCACCATAACATCAGTGACACGGAGCAGCGCTGCTCAGAAAATCTCCGCTTAGCTTAATCCTGTTTGGGTCGAACGGCCTCATATCTGACCTCCTCCTCAGGAAGATTACGTAGGGCATCGTGTTTTAAGAGGGAAAACAAATATTCACAGACGAGCAGTGAACCACCTGACAATGTAAACCTGTGGTGGTGTGATCTAAATTTTTAGTCCATTTCTAATGCCATATTGACACAGAATCCAGTGACATCTGCTTGTTATAGTGCCTGAAGGCAGCGATGAGACTGAAGCTGCGTAATCGCGAGCAGGACGTTATAGTGACTGAAGCTGCGTAATCGCGAGCAGGAAGTTGCGAAGTGCGTTCACAGGGACGGCGAGAGAAGAGCTGCAGAGACGCACTTTTTTTTTGTGGAGTTTTGTCCTCATTATAACTGTGAGTCAGCGATAAACTTCTGTGTGGGAAGGAAATATTTCCGCAGCTCCGTATCAGAAAAAGCACCATTTTTTTTTAGTGACTTTAATTTCAAGATGAGGTGATGAGAAACTTTTTACAGCCACCGTGGTGTAGAGAACAGTTCTGTCTGCAGGCAAAATTAACACCATCAATCAGCCACTTAGTATATGCATTACAACTACTTCACAAGAGGAGGACTAGTCACAGGAAATGACAAGAAGTTTGACGCGTCCCATGTTTTATGACTTCAGAAAACTCTTCTTACATCAGTTTATACGACAAACAGCTGCTTTGGCTTGGAGCTCATGAGTTCCCACGTACTGATTGGCAGAGATCGTGACCTGAGGGGGCGTTACTTTGTCTTCTTCTGGGGCCCTGATTGGACAGACCACACATTGAAGTTTGTTTCCATATGTCACGACCCGGCCGAGCTAGAACGTGAGACACGGTTTTGGCAGATGTAAAGACAAATACGTGAGGCTCCTGGATAAATGAGAGGAGCAATCCATGCAATTACCCACAATCCACCTGCTTTAGAATACGTGTCTATTAGGCAGGTAATGGCAGAGGTCGTCACGTGGTATCAACTGTTTGTTCATCAGAATGATGTATTATTATTTTAACCTGTGAACATGAGAGCGACTGACCTCTGATCACCTCAATGCCTCTCACAGACGACGACGACGCCACCGACGCAGACGAGATGACCACGTTCGACGGCTCCACCATCTCCCTCTCCCTCTCCCCCATAATGACACCGGCTAAAGGAGGTGATTGTTACGATGACAATGAGGCCATTCTGATTCATGTGAACGTCCTCGTCCCTTTAATGCTCACCACCCACGTTGTTTTCCGTGTGTCCACAGACTCCATACCCAATGGGAAAGACCACTTATCGGAGCTGGAGGAGGACCTGTGCATCGAGATATCCAAGCTGAGTGTGAGCACTACGGAAACCGTGGAGATATCCATCACGCCCAAGGAGAAGGTGGGAGAGCCCCAGACCCCCGAGAGTCAAACCAAGTCGGATAAGAAAAAGAAGAAGAAGTTCCGTACGCCTTCCTTCTTGAAAAAGAGCAAGAAAAAGAAGGAGGAGCAAGAGAAAATCGAAGCCTGAGCGCGTTCGCTGCAAAGACTGTTGTTTTACTTTGACAAATATGAACTGCCGTCTCCTTTCCATTAGCGATATGAATTTCTGAGGCAAAAAGCGTCCCATGAATGTGCTGTCCTTCAGATGGTTAAATGAGTGATTGTTTTACCTTTTTTTTTTTAACCAAACCATGAAGAGCTCAGTGAGCTGAGGTCAATGCTTCTTCATTTAACGTTTAACTTAGCTACATAATGTTTTACCATTTGTGTTTTTTTTTTTGTTTTTTTATATTTGCACAATTTCAAAGTTGAATGTCTGCTTGGAATATTGCCTAACAATTTTAAATTATAATAACCAGACTTATATTTAGCCTCATGAGAAGTACGATTTCTATCTGAACGTATTCACAGTATCTTTTATCAATGTACGTTGGTTTATAACCCATCCATGACATGATAGTGTCACGTAGTTAAATGTGTGATTTAGTCATCGTTAGATATTTACAAACTAACCTGTACTTAACATGCTGTGATCCATGATACAATAATATTTTTTTTTACATACTGTATGATGTATCTGAGTAGGTATTTTTAGGCCATGGTTGCTGCTGCTGTTGTGATTGTGACAAATCGACTGTGAGCGACAGGTAGTTGGTGAGCGACAAGGTTGGAACTTTCACAGATAATCACTACATGTGCAAATGACGACAGTGAAAAAGGCCAAGTTTAAACTGCAGTAATGGGTTGATAGTGGTCATGGTGTTTGAAGGGTCAGGGGTCATGGTTGATGGCAATGGAAAGTTTTTATGCTAACGTTTTTTTTTTGTTTGTTTTTTTAGAGATAGGCATCCCAGTTGATACATTTATATGTATGTGTGTGCATATATATACATATAAAGCATATATGTTGCCTATATATGTGTGTATATATACATATCTATATATATACATCCCAGTTGATAATGTGAACAATGTGATGTTGACAAGTGCAGCAGTAGTTTTTTTTATTATGCATTAAATCTGTTGCCAGCTACTCACTAGTCCTAGGACTTGGCGTGTTCGGGGTTTTTACTCCACAAGGAAGACTTTACTCTGCCTGACCACAGGGGGCAATAAAACTCAGTAAGTTGTGTAATGGACACAAATAAATTGCGAAGGCTTAAGGAAACGTTTTTTTTTAACCACCAGTACATAAATGAACTGAAAAAAAATCAATAATTGTTTAAGGTTGAAGGCATTGTTTCTGAGTCACAGGGAGAAAAGTTATTTTCTTATATATATATATATAATAATACTGTTTTTTTTTTGCTATGTAAAACAATAAAACACAAACATGTGACAGTACACTCTAAAAGCCTTAATTGTCTCATGTCCCGTCCATGCTACTCAGGCTTTACTAATCAATTGACACTGCTGCGTATATTGTGTTCACAGGCTGTAATATCTGTTGAAGGTGTCATACTAGTAGTACGTGCATCTCCTCTGTAGTAGCAGCAACATTAGGATATTTACTTTTCCTTTTAGCAGATCACTCTCAGTTGTCTTTCCCCTGGTCTAATGAAACACTAGTATTTTATTTTTGGTTTTATTTTACTTTTTATAATTCATTCATTGCCCTCAAAGATCATTTCAATTATGTTTCTTGCTCTTTTTGTTTTCTTTATGCGTTGGTACATCATTGATTTCTCGGACATAACTAGCTAGTTGTATACCATAGAGTACTGTCATATTTGTCAGTGCAAATTGTGCAAAGTAACACAGACAAGCGTGTCAAATGTGCACATTTACACTTCACTCGCTGTCTGTGAGCAGAGCTGATCAAAGCCGTTTGTAAATCGAACTCTCCGGTGAATCACTTTCAAAGCCTCGGCCGCCACGTTTAACGGGAACAAGCTGCGTCCTCCTTAAGACAATGCTGCCTGTTCACTGGTAATTGACAGTGTGAGGCTGTATAATCACTGGTCAAGCCTCCGTTTGAATGGCTGTTGTCATGGTAATCTACGGAGAGGGGGACCGTGGAGACAAAGAGCGGATTTGGTGTCTCCAACAGGTGTTCACATTGGGGGAGTGACGGGATCAATACCTTCACCACCACCCCCACTTTACACACACACAGACCCAGACACACCTCTCTGGTGGGGTGACATGAGCAGAGGTCAACGGAAGTGCAGCTTATTGACGAATGCATATTTACAATAATAACACATCCAGGAGGGAAATGGGATTTAAAATAATATCACAATCTGGTGGACGTGAGGATTAGCAGAATAAAACAGCAGACTCCCTCATCTAACAGTCACCTCCAGTATGTAGAGCAGCCACGGGCAGCCTGTGGGATCCAGGGCTATTATCCTAACAATCCCTTACAGCGTGTGAATGACACAGCTTAGTGCTGAGTTCTTCCTTGTAATGACGGTGCCAAGGAGAGGATGAAGCAGGTGACACATGTCAGGCCTGCTGGAGTGTTTGTCCGCCCTGACCTCGGGCCAGAGGGCGGCTATTGTTTTAAAACAACAGGGGGCGGCGCCCGCTGCTGCTGCTGCTGCTGCATCTTCACTAACAGACCCGTCCAAACGCCACCTGATCATTTGACACTGAACCGCACATCAGAATTGTCGGACAAAATTATCTTGAGCAATGCTTTTCACCAAAAACGTAGACCAGTTCCAGTTAATAATACCATGAAGAGATCTCTGTGCATAAGGCCAAGTGTAGAAACTGCTGCTAAATAAGCTGGACCCCTGCTGCCCTGATGTGGAAATGCAGGACAAACAACCGCGAGAGGATAAGAGTCAGGTGAAATCAGGACCGACATAGAACATCCGTACATGCAAAGGGTGCTCATCTGGATACATGCAAATATAGGTATACGTATAATAGTATAGACAGACCAGGTATTTGAATGACAGAGACATATCTGCACAAGGAAGGGTAGATGGATAGATAGATAGATGGTAGCGGCCTGTGTGACTTTGCCTTCTGTGTGACAGTGGAGCCTGCAGTGTAATCCTCAGGCTTTTCAGATTACTCCTGTTGGGGTCACGTTCTACACCAACCTTCTGTGGGTCAGCTTTCTACACATACACACACAAGCACACTTAGCCAAGGAGGTGGAGGAAGTGAGAGAGACTGAACTTTAGACGTGATACCAGTATGATCCAGCAGGACAACAAAACCACTCCGTTTGTTTTTATGCAGTTATTACTATTGTATCATTGCACATATTTCTGAATAAAGACCATTTCTGCTAACAGAGAGTGTCTGCCTCAGTGGCTGGAGCTGGGAAGTGTGTGTGTGTGTGTGTGAGAGAGAGAGAGAGTGTGTGTGTGTGAAAGGCTCTGCCAGGTAGCTGAAATAGACTCCATGGGAGGGTGTACGCTCTCACAGGCGTCCGTTACAGGCTTGGCCACATCTGCAGTGGGCCAGCCATCTGCACCCTTTGTCTCTGAGGCAAAACACAGCCGAGCATGCATGGCTGGCCTCGTAAAGCCAGGGCCCTTTCCACTGCGTTCTCCTTCATCCCTCACAATGTGACAGAAAATGACTTCTTAATCCCCTAAAAGGACGGCAGAAGTTTGCTGTCAAGCCAGCGGGGCAAATTAAATTCCTAGAGTACCATTTTTAATCCAAACATAAGGCTTTCTTTGTCAGCCAAGTTATGAAATATCTAAAGAAATGGCAACGTACATGTAAATGTTGTACATAAATATACATGCAACAACAACAGAGTAAAAGTAGAAATAAAAAATAATTTTGCAGAAGTCCCACATTTTTATTTAAATAAATCCTTAAATAAACTATACCAATTACCATAATATTCTTCTTCTATTTTTTTTAAAAGTATAATAATCGTTATCCTTTCATTGTCAGTAAACCATAATACACGTGGTACACTGCCTGTAGAGCCCTTTAACACCACACAGGCCTGAAGTCATTACATATTTATAACAGAGAGCAGCCTTGGCAGATGGCCCTGACATCCAGTTGGCACAATTGATTGGGACTAATATGAACTTTTCTTTCTTTCTCACTATTTGTATTCTATTCACACGCGCGCACCCACACGTACAGACGCACGCTGTCCTGATCCAGACGCTGTCGCAGACACTCTCTGTTAGCAGAAATGAACATGTTCTTACTTAATAGTAGCGGGTCAGTACACCAACCAACAGGCTTACTTGAAATTTCAAGTTCATGGTTTATTTATTTTTGGTTCTAAATTCTTCTTTTAGCAAGACTTGTTCTGTTTGTCGACATATATTTACGACGGCTTACTTTTAGTCATTTGTCAGCTAACTAGCTATTGCAAGTGAACTATCTATGAACTGCTTTTCTTAACTTTTGTTTACATTTAATCTAATGTGTAATTCTAATATTCTTTCAATTGTCAGGTATATGCGGGAAAATAGAAACCTTACATAACAAAATGTGCACAAATACATTTGACTTATTTTGCATTTTTCTAACATGGAAGCCCAGACAATGTACACATAATCTACTATAATGAAACCATTTAAAAACATTCTTACAAATTGAAGAAAAAAATGTAAATATATGTATTATATAAATATAGTTTTTAGGTAGGAAAATGATCTAACATTAATAGCTTGTAACACCGGGTACATATTCTTTTTTGTAAAATTCTTACTTTGTTCCTTTATCATTCATAAACAATGTAGCACCATATGTGTTTATTATTGGCCTATTATTGGCTAATCAACTAATAGCAAGGTTGTGTGTCTAGTTTTTCTGATAATAGATGTTTGCTAATCAACTAATAGCAAGGTTGTGTGAGACAGCAGGGGTAAAGATGGCCTCCAATGAGTGGTTCCATAGCCAATTATATCCCCTGAAATTAAAATGAGCAAAAATATATATCATTTATGTCATAAACATGTTTTAAAAACACACACAAAGGTTTAAAATCAAATGTCCTCATTTAATGTTACTCCAAAATGATTTCCTGACGGTAACCTCCATTTCCTACTCACTGTCTGTTAATATGTTATAAAGCATTATATGGTCTTGGTATTTATTCAGTTTGTAAAAGTTTTAACTACATTAAATTGCAGTTTAGTCAGTAGTGATACGTGGGTTTATTTTAATTATTATTATTAAATTGTCACAACAATACAATACAATACGACGAGCCGTGAGAGAGCTTAGCATCGTCCGAGCTAACATCTCCAGTCAGAATGCATTGTCAGGCACTGAACTTCGATGTAACATCGTTTAAGCTAAGGCTAAACTCTCCTCTGCTTTCGTGGATTTATCGTGGCACAGTTGACAATGAATGCTATGTGCATGCGTTAGTGGGAGGGATTATCCACCAAGTAGGGCAAGTGGCTGAGACTGAGGACTGCAATTCCATCCTGCCTGCTTCATTTCAGTCTCATCTCCCCGTCGAGTGCACGCAAAGGGACGAAGCCAACGAAACACAGCAGCGAAAGCAGAAAAGGGGCTAAAATGGTCAAATACATGCGACAGCACAGCGAGCTGCTGAAACCAGAGGAGGTCCTGTCGGAATCGGACGCGTCCATGGACCAGCAGGATTTCACAGAGATGTCCGACTATTCTTTCAGCGACGTTTTATACTCTAAATGTTCTGCAATGGACCAAATCGACACTTTTATGAAGAATGTACAAGTGCTGCTCGATGCGGCGCATTACATAGAAAATGTGGAGAAGAACAGTGGAAGTAAGTAAAAAAAGAAAAAAAAGATAACCCACCAGAGTCTGTGTCTAACATGTTTAATGCACCGAGCAGACAACAATAGAGGCTGGAGGCGACAAAAGACGCGCAGCGGACACACGAACCGGCCCTTCAGCAGCCAGTCACACTCCACCTGCTGCTTAATAATGCATAATAACTTTATTAAATATTCCCATTTTAATAACTTGTCTAGAAATTACCTTTATACAAACGTATTTCTAAGAGCAAATGCATCGACAAAGATCACATTATTTTGCTACCTGCAGAAATAAAGTTGCCTCTTGCAGGTAAATAAAAAAGTAGTTCATAACAAATGATTTCTTTTTACTTTTCTTGCATTTTGAATACGTGAATTAGAGCACAATTCACGAAAACATTAAAGATTCCTACATCGTATAACTCACTTTAATATAACTCCCTTTCGGATGTTACAATAAATACGAATTCACGATAAAATATGTACCGACAATTATTTAATTGCTGTTTTTATGTCTGCCTGCTCAATTCGTTTTTTTTTAATAACTTAAACTAATAAAGATTACTCTGTCGTAATATTCAGAGGTTGCTACAGCTTCCTTGTATGTGTTGTTCACATGGTTTCCACATGGAACTAATTGTCAAGTTTTCATTGGTCGACACACATGTTCTCACTGCGACCTACTGCCAAGAGCCAATCATAGCCAGACCTCTAGAACGTCATGTGTTACTGGGAGTCTTTGAGGATTCATGGGAACTGTAGGCTGTTAAAGTCACATCATCGTGAATAAACCTAGACATAGAAACAGAAGCGATACACGTGTTTAAACATCTTTGACACGAAGTCAAAATGATTGTGTATGTTGAATTAATATTATATTATTATAATATTAAATATAATTTAAATTATCATTAATGTTAAAAACAACGTTTACATATTTTTTATGAAAAGACAAAACCGTATTTTTGTAATTATTATTGCTGTCGTTATTTACAAAGCGATTAATCTAATTATAGGGCCATATCTTTTACAAAAAAAATAAATTGCTGATTTATTTATGTTTTTGCATTTGATAAGTTATTTCTACAACATTTTGTGTTTTGTTTCTAACAGAATACGAGCATGGGTACGCCTCATTATATCCTGAATCCCAGCCTTCACATCAACAGAAGCAGCGTAAATTCAAAAACAGGAAACAGGACCATATTCACAATAGGTATGTCTATATGTTGAATAACTAAATATCAAAAAATAAATGTGCGCTGGTTAAATATGTTCATAACAACATTCTGTGCAATTTGTTAGTCACTAGATTAGGTAAAATAAAAACAAATTGACTTAACAACTTGTTGTTTTTTCCTATTTCAACAGGTCAGCACATAATGAACTGGAAAAAAATAGGTGAGTAATGTGTGTGCATGTTTACTGTGAATTTGAACCAAACACACATGCACAGGAAAAACTGCAAGTCAGGTTTTAAGCCGTTTCTCCGTGACTCTTGTTTTATCGCAAAATGGAGCGTCCATGATTGATAAACCAAAAGCTGTCCCCATTCTGCCATTTTTACAGATTTTCCACTCATTGATATAGTATGTTGAGCGAGACACACTGCAGGTCTATAAATCAGCTCATCACCGGCAGATTTCAATAAGAATTGTTTTTTGTTTATCAACGCCTTCAACACACGCCGTGCCCCTGCAGTATTGCGGTGAACATTTTGCAAGGCAAATATATGGCAGGTGTGATGCAGCCTCAGTAGCAGCATTGTTCCTGGAGGACATGCAGACAGTTCCCCAGTCAGCAAACGGGAACTGTCTGTTTCCAGACAACAGGGCTCCTTCCTGAGAGACTCTCCACTGAATCAGACTGCTGCTTGCTTATTTAGCTGCAGGATGTAGCAGCACATACTTTACATTGGGGAAATTCAGGACAACCACTCTTAAAATATCATGTAAAAAAAGATAAGTAAAAAGGTTTAGGTGAGATGATGACTTAACCACTTAATAACTAACTCATAAAAATAGTGACCTCATTCAGGGATGAAAAGGATGACTCACAACTTGACCTACATTTTAAACTCATATTGTAAGGATAGTGAGTGTGTGCATTGATGCAGGCCAGGGAGCGCAACTGATGACAAAGACAGTAGGAGAGCGATATAAGAAGGTTGTTAATGCCGCTCAGACGGATCCATGCGTAACCACATGTTGCGGCTAATCATCAAAACAGGAAACGGATAAACCAAGTGTCCCATTACAGTTCACAAGGAACAATTCAAAACCTAACCTTAACAATGGTGCCTTAATAAAAATGAGGAAATATCGCCTATGTGATCTGGGTGTCGTGACTGTTCACTGACGGGGTCGTCTCCTTTCAGACGAGCACATCTGCGCCTTTGTCTGGAGAAGTTGAAGTCTCTCATCCCTCTGGGACCAGACTGCAGTCGGCACACCACGCTGGGGTTGCTCAACAAGGCCAAAGCACATATAAAGGTATGGTACTCCAATGTTGGAACCAAATAATTTTTTTAATTCCTCATGACCTACTAGCACTCCCTTCGCGATCCATTTATTGGGCACCACCGACGTACAGGTGTTATGGGTAATTTGTCTTGTGAGATCCAGAATTTGGATTTATGGGTAATTTGTCTTGTGAGATGAGTATGGGTAATTTGTGTTATGGGTAATTTGTCTTGTGAGATGAGCCAGAATTCACAGATCTGCAGTAGTGGGGGTGACTCTCATTTCTAAGAATGTCCCTCTTTATCTACAGTATCTGGCTGTTCACCACAGTGATGAGCTATGTAGCTAACTGAGTACACAACCCACAAAGGGTTCTACAACTCATCCCACCTTGACCCTAATGTGACTAACCACAGCACTGAGGGTTCAAATGGCGACAGTATGGTCTTTGTCACATACAGTCTGTCCAGTGGCTGCAACGTCAAGGCTTCCTGTTGGAGTTTTCTGTAGGAGTTTGTTAAAGGGAGGGGCCGGGGTCATAGATTGATACCTATGATGTCATCGGCCGTCTTTGGACTTCCAGGAAACGTAGCTTCTAAATGTGTGTGGTATTTTTAGAACGGGAACCTGTGTTGTAGAGTAAAAGGGGAAAGCAGGTGCAGCCAGCATTAGGCTGCTCCAAAGCCGGACGTAAAAGAAGAAACAGAGACTCAGTGAGAACCTGCAGCCAGGGCTAGGTTTAGTTTACTGAGGCTAATGTTCATGCTAATGTAGAATAACTGCTGCTTCGTGACTTCAGTTTTTCCCTTGTTTGAATTAGACAGTCTTACACAGACTAAGGAGCCAACAGTGGACTGACTGCTGCCATGTTCCGGTGCTAAAACACTAACTAAGAAACTAAAGACATTGTAAAATGAAGTCAATGCTTCTTTTATTTGAGGGGTGTTTTTTTATGTTAAATTCTGCCTGCCATGTTTTCAGTAAGTAGTGGTACCTGCATGGCACCGGCATGTACTATGTTTTGGTTCTTCACAGAGCTCCAAATGAAGGAAATCAAAGTTAATGTAGTCTGAGTCACTTGAACTATTAACCTGACTCTCACATGCACACAAAACTGTCAGGGACACAGACTTTACAGACTCAAAGACAGAACAATTCAAAGACACATTGTAAAAAGTTAGAAAAAATAAATCATGAAGAAAATTAACTTTTTTTAACCATGTTATTAATTAAAAATAAACATATAAATCAGAATTAATAGCTAATTTTAGGCTAACATGAACCAGTAACAGTAACATTTAAAACTTGAGAACAACAGAGCAGCATCATCTACAGCTACTGTACTAAAAAACAGGATTTTATTTCCAGTGTTGACGTATTTTTGTCTTTTAGATGTAGAAGTATTATCCCAGCGATTTTTCTGTCTGATAAGGATGAAACACTTCTGCAAAAGAGAATTCTGGGGGATACTTTCAAGGTCACAAGGTCACAATTCCTGCCAGATCAAATCAAATCAAAAGCTAAAGTCCTGCATTGTCACCCAGCATTTACAGACAATGACGACAGCGGTCCATGTTGGTACTTTGCCGCCTCCTTCAGGAGTTTACCACCCATTACTAAATCGATCATTGATTTTTTTTAATACCCTGCCTAGAAACTTGAAGAGACTGACCGGAGGAGTCAGCACCAGCTGGAGACCTTGGAGAGAGAGCAGAGGCATCTGCAGAGGCAGCTCGCCCAGCTGCAGACTCACGGAGATAGGGAGCGGGTCCGTACAACCAGCCTGGGCTCCAGGGTGGACTCGGAGCGCTCGGAGTCTGACCGAGGTCAGAGCCACGGACAGCTGCTGTCTAATATTGACGAACGAAGTCAGAGCGATTTAGATGCTAACTAACGTCATCTCGTTTTGTGCGTTTGCAGAGGAACTTGAAGTTGACGTTGAAAGCACTGAGTTCTCCCATGGAGAAATGGACAGTATAAGTACCAGCGGTGCTAGTGACCTGGACGACCACAGCAGCCAGCAGAGCACGGCCAGCGACGAGGGCTACTCCACGTGCAGTCTAAAACTGTCCTTCTCCGCCTGAGACACCAGCCTTCACACCTTCACCTCTGCTGCAGTCTCTAGGACTCCCAGATACCAGCTTACAGCTCGACACATTCTAATTTGCAGCTTTAGGTTAGGTGACATCAGAGGAACACATCAAAGAAAGACTCCTCCGTCCAAATAACCCAGCCTTAACTCCAGCTCTCTCTCCCAATGTTTCAAATAGTCTCCTCCTGCCAAAACGTTGACTTCTTTAACTCCAGACTCAAATTGACCCAACAGTGACCCCTGTCTCCAAAGATGACTTAGAAAAGTCACCTGATTTTCCCTTTATGCCCAGCCAGCTAAAAAGGATCCACAATCGCACCAGTGTCAAACTTCCTTTATTCGAGCTGAACATCAGAAACCAGCAAGTACAAAAACCAAACCAGCTAGGAACTCATTTTGGGGAAGTTTGGGCCATTTGCCTTGTTAAAAAAAAAAGGAAAAAAAAGCCCCTTTTGTTGGATGATAACATCCACGTGGCACTTCTCGACAGTGAACAAGCTAGAGGCAAGGGCTACACTGTCTGCATTCCAAAATCGCTGAATACCGTCTGCTTCACAGCCCACCACTATCACTGATCCATGTGGTATCTCCTCACGACTGAAGCAGGCGGAAATCCAAACAGGTGGCGCGGCCCACCTTAGTTGTTTTAATTTATTTTGCATACAATTATAGTATTTATTTTTGGTATATTTAATTCTACTTCTAGCTAGGAGATAGTCACGCTTGAATAATAATAATAAATATGTACTGTTCAAATAACCGTTCTTAGTTTTTTAACATTTACCAAATGACTCGACATGTAATCAGTCCCGACTCAAGTGTTACGCAGTGCTGCGGGCTCAGTGTGAACTCAGCGGTGTTCTGTCAGAGGGAGGAACCGTTTCTGTCACACTGTGCATTAATGAGTGCTTTTCAGACAGTAATAAGCTAACACACACACACACACACACACTCGTCCAAGCACAAGGCTCCGGCAATAACACGTGTAGTTTGAATTTTCTCTCACCCCACCGTCCCCCCGTGTTCGATACCAAATTAGCCGACTAGCTCCTCACCTGCTCCGGTAGTGGTAACAGTTATGAATAATCAGCAGTAAGAATGTAATGATTGTAATTGAGAAAAGGAAGAAAAAAAACAAACAAAGAAAAGCTATGGTGCATGTGTATTTGAATGTAGCCGTGCTCATGTTGTAATTTGCTTTGGATTGACTTATAAATATATATGTAGTATAACCATAAACACTACAGAAGATTTCTTTTTTTTTTTTAGTACATCAAGTTTCTTACACTTGGAGCCACATTGCTGACTTGTTCAAATCACCATCAGTCTTTCTGGTCCACGGTTCAAGACAGATCGCCACCAAACTGTGTCTTAACCTGACTACGACTCTTGCACAAAGATCCTCGTCACAGGTCTTTTTTTTCTACCCAACCTGATTGGGAAATTATAAATGCACTATGAAAAAGACTTTTAACGAAGGGAATTTAACTGCAGCACATGCCAGAATGTTCTCTCTTCTGCTTTATCAGCCATTCAATGTGATTTGTGTTGCAAGAAAAAGGAACATGCACTACTGGTCTCTGCTAACACTGTAATAGATTCTGATTAACCTGTTTCTGAAATCCTAATAAACCTCTTAATACAGAGATGCACAGAGGGTTGTCGTTTGTTGTGGAAGCTCTGTTGGTGACCTGAGAATGTTTCCCCAGAAACAGTTAACACGCACGCCCACAATAATGCCACCGTTCACTCACTTATTGCCGCTCTAATAAACTGCAGATACACAGGTTATTTACACACAGTGAAAGAAAAAGCTTTTGTTTCACAAAGCAATAATATCAACAGAAATACAAAATGTATTTGCAGAGGCCTTCACTCCAGGTCATACAGCAGGCGTCAGACTGTTGTATGAGGGCTGTGGGTGTGCCGACGACAGACATGTCGATTGAGTATGAGTGTAGACGGATTAACAGCAAAAGAAAAGCTCTTCCAAGTGTACGAAAACTACCCATTGAAGCACAGTAATGATTAATATCCAAAAACCCCAGGAGGCTTTATAAAAAAAACTTTTAACCAGGCTAATTTTGAGTGTTACTTTATCATAGTTTCCTTTCATATTAATCATATATTAACTGATATGAAAAATTGATTTTATATTAATCCCCTTATGTCGCTATTTGTCTTACTGTCCCAGCAACACAAAGAAAAACTATTTTTGTCATATTTAAGTTTTATCTCAATTAACCACAATCACCATTAATCCAAAGCTACTCTGCTAAATCAGAATACATTTTTTTCCATCACCAGACTTCTCTAGTTTTTCGATAAAATTTTCATCAGTCCGAACACAAAAACAAAACATTAAAATATATTAGGAAATGAATCCCAGCTTATTGAACTCTTTACCACCACCTAAAGGATCCGACCAAACCACAGTGTCAGAACAGACCAAAAACAAGCGAGGACAAGTCTTTAAAAAAAAAAACTGAAAACAGAACACGTTTATTTCACTGATATTTACATTAACATCATTATTATTGTTCAAAAACATCATAAACTAATTTACTCTTTGGACTCCCGTCCTAAATTTACACACCTTCCTCACATGTGTATCACTCCACGCCTCAGCCTTGGTGGAAAATAGACTCAGGCGTGGACTACGTCATGCCTTTTTTTCCTGTCAAACACCACTTCCTGTTTTAGACCAGGAACAAAAGAAAACTCTTGCACCTATGTGACATTTAATAAACTACCCCAATCGCTCAAACAATGGTGTCAACACAAATAAAATCTCCGTTTTTCCTTTACGACCTTAAATCATGTATGAACAAGATGGGAACCACTGACAGAGCTGGTACACAGCTGGAAGACTGTGCTGTCTGAGGTCATTGTGGCATTAGATGTCTGACGTTGTATTTGGACGTGTCGTTGTACTGAGTCATGGGCTTGTCAGCGATTCCGCATGTTCCCACTCCAACTTTTCCATTTACGCTCTCTGGTGACGCGAATATGCTTCTCTTTACCTGCAAACAACGACGACACTGTTTAATCGATGGACAGCAGTCAACACGATGTAGGCTCACAACACAACAGAGGGAATGATAATTAAATTCATATAATATTTCAACCAATATAACTAGTATAATAACAATCAACAAATCATTTTTAAAAACACAGCGCTGGTTTTGTAGTAAAACAGTGGCTAATATTTATGGTAAAGGACACAAGTGTTTTAATAGATTACTCCAACAGGGCTGATGGCGTGTCTTTAATGTGTTTGGCTAAATAACACATCTTGTTTGGTGTTGGACAAATCATGTGATGCCAGCAGCCTCATAAATGGTAACAGGGTCAGAACATATCGGCGCCACGGCACGAACTGTCAACTGACATCCAGGTACAGTAGAATACGTACTTGGCCTTTCTTGTTTTTTGAGTAGGCTTTGTTGTTGAACTGCTGCCACTTTGACTTCTGATCTTCTCTCTCCTGCTCCAATTCCTTCATCCTCTGCACCTTCTTCTGGGCTTTCTTCTTCTTGTACTCTCTCTGCTCAGCCATTTTCTCTTTCCTTGGGTTATGATGTGCAATGCAGAGAAAATGATCCATTATTATCGATTGGGTTTTCAAAGCTAGGAGTGTACATGGTTGCATTAACATAGTAAGGTGATACAGTAGAGTGGTAAAATAAAATAATCAAAATACAAGATAAATAGAGTCTTTCTGACATTCCCTTATATTTTTGGTGTGTACAGGTAATGACTGTTTACAGCAGTAGGATGAGTAAAATACAAAAATTGACTCAGTGTGAGCGGCTTTAGTACATACTTTGATTTGGGCTTTCCGTCCTCAGAGCTTTTGCCCTCCTCCGCTGCCCTGAGGTTCTGCAGGGGGATCACTTCAGCATTGCCATATTCAATAAAGGTAACAGCCGCAGTTCCATTTTCTCGATCTATCTCTTCAATCTCGGCCTCATACACCCTGTCAAAGAATCACGTCTGTAAGCAGGTGAGTATGAGCCAAACACTCAAGCTCTACTATACAAAAGATTCAATTACATTATATGCATTATGCTGAACCTGAATGTATGTTGCCCCAAATGCACATAATAACCATGGTACTTGACAGGATATCACCATACAATTTAGAAGTAAAACATAATTCAGCCACTTAATATAATAAAAACATAAAATTATGAAATCATAAAAACTCAAAATGTTGTACTGTCATAGGATACAACTGAAAAAAAGTGTTTTCATGAGACTGTAATGACACTCACTGTCCATCGTTACTCCACACAGCCATACATCTGTTTCCGACTTTCCAGCTTTTCTTTTGGGGGACAGCTTCTGTGCCATCTTTACTGGAAGTACTATCACTAGGCTGTGAAGCCAACAGGTCTTTTGTCAAATCGATGACTTCCTGTGAAAAACAAAAAAACTGGATTAGGGAAATGCTTACCAAACAAAGAAAGGGAGAGCGAGAGACATATGTTTGTGAAGAAAATAATCATTGTGTGTTATACACACACCTGCAAGTCTTTATGGAGTTTTTGGAGATCTTCATTTTCAGGATCTGTCGATAACGCAACGTCTACTTGCTGCAGCTGGGCTTTATAGCTGCTCAGTTGTTTCATCAAGTCGTCCGACATCTGTGGAAGTAAACACTAGTACCCATTTTCCAATTGATTTGACAAATTGTGCTAGCTACGTTAGCAGTACAACAACGAACGTCTAATCGAGCCTAGTTTACCGTTAAATGCAATATTTAACGTCAATGGAAACACGTTTAATGGCGGATCTTAAAATGTTATATACTCTACGAGCGGGAACGCGGAATCAAGCAATTATATAAACACATTAAACCTAGCTTAATTATGCGGCCATCTTCGTTTACGTTATTTTATCCCTATGCTAACCAACTTAGCGTGTTAGCCCGTCGAACACAACAACAAAGGATAGGGGTGTAATCTTACCTTTTTATGATTTACTCGACTTTATTAATCCTGCGGATATATTTATATTCGACCTTTTTCCAAAATACCGGCTGAAAGAATAACAACAGTCCACTCTTCGTCCTCGGCCACTTTCCTGTAGATTAAAAGAGGCCAGAAAAACTCGTGTAGCTATTCTCGCGACAACATAGCTTGCTCGCGCGAGGCTACACTGTAGGAGGAGCTTGTTAGCACCCCTAGCGGCAGTGGAATAACGTGTATAGTAAAAAAGGTTATAGTGTAGTCAATAGCTTTTCAACAAAAGGCATTTCTGTTTTAAAAACATGACATCTTCTACTTCTGTAGAACCAACTGTCTTTAGTAAACCTGATATTTAAAATACAGAAAAATGTAAAAAAGTGTATATATTGTATATTAAATATACATTTACAGACTCCCTGGTTGAATTATTTAATCTTTTACCTTGTATTCTAATGTAATAATCTTTTTTGCTACGACAAAACCATCTACACAAACTCAAAGGGTCCTCTTGAGTCAGCATGGAAACTCAACAGGAAATAAAAAGCTCAACTCCCAAAAGAATAATAAAAAATAATTAAAAATGGATTGGAATTTCCTATCCCAAATGCCACTGCAGCCTAAGCAATGTGAATACGTAATACTTTATAATGCTTTGACTTTTTTTTTTTAAATCAAAAATGTAAATATTATGTATTGTGATTAACTATTGTTTTTCGTCCGTCTTTCCTTTCTTCCCACCTTCCTTCATTCCTCTCCTTCCTCCTACTATAATTACTTCCTTCTTATCTTTTTCCTTTTTTCTACCTGCTTCCTTATTGATGTCTTTCCTTCCTTTCATCCTTCCTCCTATTCTTCCCTTTAATCTATTTATTTCTGCTTTCCTTTCTCATGCTATTCCTTTTCATCTTCTTCTTTACCCTGTTTTTCTATCTTATCCTTCCTTCCTTCTTTCTTCCTTCATTTTTCCTGTTTTCCATCCACAATTTCATATTTTATCCTATCATTCCTTTCTTTCTTCTTCATCTTTTATCATACCTTGTATTCTTTTCTCTTACTCTTTTATTGTTAATAAACACTAAAATAATGTTAAGTATACATAAACTGATGGGAATAATCTTCTGCAAACATATTGGGCCTCCCAAAAAAGTGCAACTATTTCTGTTCTCTGGAAAATAAGCAGGGCGTCATCATCCCAAAACAAACAAAACACAGAGCTCTAATAAAGAGAAACTTCTGGAGTAAACGACAAATATTTATAATTTAATAAAGTTGTATAAATGATGTTCTGTATTAAGCCCTTACATAAATAAACAGTAACATATATTGGCTATAACAATGTTTACATATATGTGGCTACCATTAAACATCTTATGAGAAAACCTAATGTAAACCATATTTTCCTTGTAAATTCTAAAGTCCCCAGTGTCATAATCAGCAAATATTTCAGCTCTGAAAAAAAAAAAAAAAATAAAATCACATTTTACTCAGTGAGCAGCGTATGAACCCAACCCCTCCCTGTTGTCACTGAACTGGAGCCAGTATCACAGATCCTCAGCGTCAGATCAAGCTCATATATAAGACACACTCTTCACTTCAGCCACAGCAGATGGAAGGATCTGCCTGCTGCTCCATTAGCCACGTAAGTGTTTTTCATATGCTAAAACCACATCTTAAAGCTCATTTATTTCTTGTGAATTCTGTTTGTAAAAAGACATTTAAAAAAAAAACGTTCTGTTTGTAAAAGACATTTTAAAAAAACACGTGGATTTCGAAAGTTAATAGAATTCTCTATCCATGCACTGTTTCTGTAAAAGAAGAAAATGTTCATCTTCTTTGTTTCTTCCAGTAAACAAGACAAAATGCTTGGTTTTCTGATCTTGAATGGAGTCGTTCGCCAAGGCTGCTGACAACCACAGCCTCCTGACACTGCTTGGAACACACCGTCACTGACACAGCTCGTCCTGATGGCTTGTCTTAACTCCTCCAATGGGAATGGGACCATACCCGGCAGACACCTTTACACCCCCCAGACTGCCGTACCCCTAATCATTCTGGTGGGTTTCCTAATCCTGCTAACTGTTTTTGGCAATGTTATGGTGGTTATCGCCGTGACAACGAGTCGAGCCCTGAGGGCGCCTCAGAACTTGTTTTTAGTATCACTGGCATGTGCGGACATCTTGGTGGCCACCTTAGTGATACCATTCTCTTTGGCAAATGAGCTGATGGGTTATTGGTACTTTGGCAAAGCGTGGTGTGAAATTTACCTGGCGTTGGACGTGCTCTTTTGCACCTCATCCATTGTACACCTGTGCACCATCAGTCTCGACCGCTATTGGTCAGTAACCAAAGCAATCGAGCACAATCTAAGAAGGACGCCTCGTAGAATCAAGAGCACCATTTTCATCATTTGGGTTCTGGCGGCTATAATTTCATTCCCTCCACTTATCACGATGACCAAGGATAAAGGCAAAGAAAACCGTCCTGAATGTAGAATCAACGAGGAGAGGTGGTATATAATATTCTCCAGCACTGCTTCCTTCTTTGCACCCTGCCTCATCATGATTATGGTGTATGTCCGCATCTACCAGATCGCAAAGAAAAGGACACGTGCTCTGCCGGGTGAAATGCGCAAAGAAAATGGACAGATGGGGGACAAAAAGGGCGGCGGGGACCCCAGAGATGAAAAAGGCAACCGGGAAAAGGAAGTTGTGGTTGACGAAGAGGTCAACGGTTCTGACATGGAGTCATCATCCGATGGGAACGACACCATCCTTTGTTCAGTGAAGAAGAAGAAGGTTCTCAGAACAACCAAAGAGGCTCAGGGCAAGCCCGGCAGAGTGTCTCCAAAGACGGAGGGGCAGCCCTCTGTGAGGGTGAGCCGGCTTCAAGGAAGGCAACGCAGAGAGAGGCGCTTCACGTTTGTTCTGGCCGTGGTCATGGGAGTGTTTGTTCTCTGCTGGTTCCCCTTTTTCTTCACGTACACCCTCACAGCTGTGTGCAGCACCTGCTGCGTCCCAGAGACGTTGTTCAAGATGTTTTTCTGGTTCGGCTATTGCAACAGTTCACTCAATCCCGTCATATACACCATATTCAACAATGACTTCCGCAGATCTTTCAAAAAGATTCTTTGCAAAGCCGACAGCAGGGGCTTGTGAATCCCACTTACACACACACACACACACACACACTCCTAAAGTGCTGTTATTGGCTGATTTTTCCACTGGGGTGTTTTCCTTGTGTAAATATTGAATTGAAAATACAATGTTAAATATTTATTGATGTTTTAAAAGCAGCGACAGATTGAACGTCGAGTGAGATTTCGTGTCTCTAAATATTTGCCTTGCAGTGTTTAATCATGAGAAAATATCTACTGTGCAGTTTGTTTTACGGCCATTACTGTGAGGTCAGACGTGGACGTTGTCCCCTTGTGTCAACTGGACAGATTTATTTCTACTGGTCTGTGTGTGTTGTGTCTGTATTTGCACTAATCAGCCAGCTGCTGAATATATATCTGCAATATTGTTTTTTTTAATTCAGTGTAACAGTAACAAGAGTAAAATGTAATGTCCAACATATTTTAAAAACTAAACATCCAATGATAATGTTTCCATGGTCCAAATGAAATGTTGATTTTTTTTGTTTATGTACCATCTCTGATATTAGGAATAAATACAATCACAGTAACAACAGATGAAAACAACCCCCCGCCCCAAAGTAGCCTATTGTTATCCCCAAAGGAGCCACTATCTCCCTTGTTATAACAAGCACAAGAACAAGACAATTACGTGAAGGAATATTGTACCTAGAAGACGCTGGCGGCACAATGATACTGAAAGCAGTTTATCGTGATTTATAGGCCTTCATATCTGGTTGTCATTAAATCCTCCCCTGGAGTCACACAGAAATTCTGCTGCTGCATATTACAACAACAAGTGTTAAAACAATATCCACACACACACATCAGTGTGTTGTGTTCTGTCTTATCACAGATCTCTGGATAACCTCCCTTTAAAAAGATAGGTTATCCATGTATGAAAGGAAAGCATATTCTCAGACTAGTTTTCCCGTCTGAATTCGTTATTAAGTAAATACACCACAGAAAATAGTACATTTTCAACAGCTGACCCGTTTTACAGTAAATGAGAGGAAAGATTCCCAGGAAGTGCTCTCAGGGACTGAGGGCTGCTCAGAGATTCCTATGGTTGAAAATTCTCCCATTCAGAGTTTGTCCTTGAGTCTTAAAATACACCCAAATCTGTCCAGTACTAGTTAACATGTCATGGTTCCCACGGACAATCAGACAAATGTTCTTTTTAAGAGCTCGGTGACATTTGAGGTCATGCTAGATGAACTCTTTCAGCTAATTTTCTGTAACATTCTGTTTCCTAATTTTAGTTAAACATAATTTTACAAAGTAATTTACAGAGAGCCATACATCAAAAATACTACAGACAATTCTTTGATTACTGCCCCATTGAAAAGTGAAAAAATAAAAAAGTTAGTGATTTATTATATTTTCTGATTATGTAGGCTACATAGTAAGATAGGGAAGAGAAAGAAAAATGACAAATTGCGTTGTATTTGTAGGCTCCAAATGACTGTTTTGCTCACATAATGAGGGCAAAAAAAACAACACAGCATCACTGTTTCTTTAAATGCTACGACAGAAGTGAAGCCATCATCAACCATTAAAATAATGATGAGATAAAGTAACAGGCATTTTAGGATATTTTAGCTTATAATTTAGCTAGTGCTAACTTGCTAGCAGCCTTGATTTTTTTTTACTTCGAGTTTCTCCTCCGTCACATAAACATATAGATTCAATGAAACTTACTTCGGGTTTCCCTTCCATCACATAAACATATAGATTCAATGAAACATTTATTAACATTAAATATTCACATTCAAGATGATCTATCCCTTGAATAATAATATTTCTACTTGTGCAGAACTGTGTCGATAAATAAAAGTGAAGTGCTTACCATATGAACTCTTTGATTTATTTACATTTTTACCAATGACCGTCACTAGCAGTACATACGGCAGATACTACGTTATGGAATGTTAGAGATGTTACACCGAATACAAACATACAGTAACAACAGAGCTGAGATGAAGGCATAGTTGTATGTATTTTGTGATTTTTGCCTGTTATTACTCCCTCAGGTCCTACATCAAACCCTGGCTGAAATCATGCTAAAAAGAATGCTGAGACCCAAACACACACAAAGATACAAACACACACACACACACACACACACTTTTGCTGTTTGCCACACTAAAGAAGTGATATATGTCTGACTCTAAAGGCCATGTCAGAGCATGGAGGATTTATGCTCATGACTCCACTGTTCTACATGCTCTCCGAGCCACCTCTGGCTGGAGTTCCCACAACATCTGCACTGCTTCCCTGCCACTGCCGTCCATTTACTTGTAATTGCCCCCGCCTACATCTCAAGTGCTCTCCAAAGCTGATGGCCGCTCATCTCTCAAGGCAGATGAAGTCGAATACCGAAGGGAACAGAGACCGTGTCCCAGTCTGGACTGGATCTCACAGTCTGACCGCATACACCACAGATGCACTAACAACTTTAAACCAGAGCTGGAGATGAAGAAAGTGTTCTAATTGAATGTTGGGTCATTTATTATGTATCGAGCAAAAAGGCATCACGTAGACCAGGGGGCAGATGATAGGTCCTCCCCAAAGAATTGATGAGGATGCAAAGATAATCAAATTATCTCGGTAGAGATGTAACCAGCAGGAAGAGTCTGTTTAATTTGCCTCATGCAGTCTCTTTGTTGCCACTGTGCAGCAACGACAATTTAAACACCCACTCAGAAAATGGGAAAGCTACTTTATATAGCGTGCAAGTGTACATGTTCCATCAATGTCACTGTGTTGCTGCATGGAACAAAGTTGGAAATGTGAATTGCACTCTGCTTTGGGACTGCAGTTAGGAGGTAAACGTAACTTTTTCCTCAGTGGAAATATTGACCATTACTGTGTGAAAACTGTGCCGGCTGAAATATAACGACCAAAATCATAGTTTTCACCTCATGTCAGTCACAAACGTGAGGTAATCCTAAGTGGCAGTCCGCGTGTTCCCCGTCTCATTCGTGCACTAATGCTACGCTAACACACTAATCTAACAGTATTTACTGTCTCATTACTTCATCTATACATAACAACTACAAACAGAGTACATGGGAGAGCAGAGTACACACTCCATCTAATGTCCCTACAGTATTTTTAACCTAATGCGACTGAGTTATAAAGTTATGAAGTTATTTAATGAAAATAAGATGTAAAAGCTTTTTTGGCATCACTCCATCTGCCTCTCCATCATTTGCTCTGCTTGTTCATTCCGAGCACATGAAAATGAATTGCATGCATTTTAAATCATAAATAAATGCATATTCTGGACTCCTCTGACCTTCTCTGGAGCAGCCCTTGGGTAGAATGTGTGTGTGTATTTGAAGGAGATACAAGAACAGAGTGGTTGGAAAATGGTGTTCTAATTTGTCTGGATGAAGCTCTAAGTATGTCATACTAAGAGGGGAAAAAAAAATCTGTTTTATGAAAAGCAGAGACATATCCTACTGTTGACTGTGATGCTTCAGTCTTGGTCTACAGCTGTGCTGTCTGTGCTTGGCAGTAATGTCTTGCTGATGATAAATGAAGCCCTCATCTGCTCCAGACAGCATATTTCTTCCTTGAACTTCTCGTCTTGTCTGCACTATTGATTGAATTTCATTCCAGCCTACTCTCGTCCTTTAGCTTATGCAAAACAACTGCATCGCACCAGCATGCTCCCGCATGTTGTCACCAGAAATAAAATGATAAACACTAAAACAAATGAGAGATTAATAGAACTAGGTTCAAGATGAAAATAATGGGATATTTCGTATCTAGATTATAATGTGATCCATTACAGTATAATCTCAAAATCAATGTTTACTGACTCAATGTCGAATTGAAGAAAGAGACACATGAGGATCTGCTTCAACAGCTCTGAGTCTATGTACTTACTAATAATACCAGTATCAGCGAAGTCCTAAATACTGCATCTAAAATTAAACATTTGATGTAGTACAGTTACTTCACTTAAACAACTGTTAGCAAACAGCCAAAAAGTATTATAATTCTAAATAAAGAGTACTAGGACACAGTGTGGAGTAGGTACTTTTGGCCATAGTGTTGGTCTGAGGTCAGTTGTAACCCTCACTACATACTGCATTGATTCTAACTCCTTCAAATGTGTGCACACGTGGATATCCAAGTAAATATAAGTATTGATCCAGAGCTCTGTATCGATTGATTCTCAGTGGTAAAAAAAAAGAAAATCAGATTGGAAGCCAGAAAAGCTTTTAGGACATGTATAAATAAAATCCTGAGCATTGAGGGAGAAGATACAGTTGAGCTGAGGTGAAGTCTATGTTATAATGAAAACGTATACTGTAGTTACTGACCACAAAGAAAGGAATACATATTAAATTTTTTACAAACGCTGAAGAAAAACATCCCACATTGCCTATGGAGGTACTTACAGAATGTGATGTTTTGTCAATTCTTGATGTCAATTCTTGCATTGGAAGGCTAATGCAAAGCAGGAAGTGAGTTTTTCCCATCTTTTGGGAGACTGTTGGTACATTTGTTTACAGCAGATAATCTGTTGTGATCTGTGCGAGACTTCCAGATGCCAATTTGTGATTTGATTTAGTAGTCCAGTGGGAGGGAGAAGGAGCTTCCTGCTGTCAGGGCGCAAATGAAACGATAACCAATTAGGTCCTTCTCCCACTTTAAATTCTTCATCAGGATATTGTGGACATTTTCCAAATTGTGGTTTTATATTTTACATTTTAATGTCAACACAAAATGTTTCTATTCTTTAATGGCTCCAACAGCTATCCTTTTCTCACCCGATCCGTCTTATGAATATGGCATTATTGGTGTTTGGCATATTGGTGTTTCTTCTGTTATAAATAATGCATGAAAATTATAAATCAAATTTCACATTACACAAAATAAAGCTTTTTAAGCTGAAATATAGCTGCATGGGAAGTAGCTCAGTGGAAGGTTTGATGGTGTATAATGACATGAGCCGCATTACATATGCCATCTGGTGAGAGCGCCTCAGTAATCAGAGGTAGGACGTGGGTTGCAATGCAGCATTCATAACACTAACAACATTACTGGCAATATTGTCTTCATCGTAAATTCTGACAGCAAAACACGAGAAATCCGAACCCACTAATAATTCAAATATATTACCTTGAACACATTTTTGAAAAAAAAAAAAAAATCATAAATGTTTTTGCAGCTGTTATTGGCTTCTGCAGGATGTGGGTATTGTTGATAAAACCAATATATCTGCCATTTAATTAGCACACTATTTTGTACCACTGTGAATAAATGACTTTCTCGGGGCAATATTTATAATGTATTCACAATATAAAAAGACATGGGCATTATGTATTTGACACCTGCTGCCTTGGCTGGCTGATGCAGTTACAGTTCTGCAACATAGTGTGACAGTGATATGACTTGATTTTGGAGTGACTATCATTCAAAACACTTATGTCTCATCTGCAATCTACGTCTACCTGGCCTCTAAATAAATTCTTAGTCCACTGGGCATTTTTCCATCTACAACTCCTCCAGGACTCTGTTTAACTGGATAAGCTCACAGTTTAGTAGGCAAATAAAAAAATGGGCTTTTACCCGTAAACCATTTTCCTTCAACCGACAGCTTAGACAAAATGAAAAGCATTCATTTCAAAGCCAAATCCCAGCTGGAGAGCAAAACTGAATTCAATAGTGCTTCTCATTCGTATGGGCTTTCATTTAGAGCTGCCATAAAATCATTTGAAAATGGTTAACAAAGACAAGTAGATCTGTTCAGAAATGATCTCGTTAGTCCCGCATACCTCTTACGAACCACGTCTAGGGAGGAAGGAAAGCACAGAATAATTATCCCAAATTGTGTGTAATAATTCGGTTTTACAAGAATAATCAGTCTCTCCAATCTCTGTGGTAATAAACTTAATTACATTGTCAGTCTCAAATTTTGAGGTGCCCCTTAATGAAGACACTAACAAAAATAAACGCAAATATAACCACGTTTAAATAAACCGTACGACTTATTAATTAGACAGTATTGTCACTTTTATTACGTTTATTATTACAAGGGCTATTGGAAAATGTACAGTGTTTTAAGCTTGAAAGCAGTGAATTAATTGCGCATGTCCTCGTCATATTTAAATATCTTTGACTTTGCATGTAATTTCTCTGGACCTTAAGTATTCATTTAGGAATAACACCAATTCACCCATCTTTAATCACTTAATCCTTTGCAGCGCTGCAGGGGGATTGAGCCAGCCCCAGCTGTTAAGGGGTGAGGGGCAGGATTAAATCCTGGACAGTATGCCAGTTCATGTCAGGATCTCATATACTGTTTGGACAACTTTCACATTCACATTTAAGTTCAATAACACACAAACTTTCACATTCACATTTAAGTTCAATTAAGAATGTCCAGTTAACCTCATCCCTAATCTGCAGGGGTTGTAAACAGTTTACAAAAGGTAGATAATACATATGACTTTTGGAGTCGTTGACATGCATGTTTATAGATGTGGCTGTAATTCAGGTGGTCAATTCTGGAGAGTAGCTGGACAATGAAACGTCCAAAATAGTTGAAGATGCTTGCAACGTCCAAAATTGTAGGAAATGCTCGCAACGTCCAGAATTGTAGAAATTTTCGCAATTGTAGAAAATGCTCGCAACGTCCAAACGGTTGTAAATTCTCGCAACGTCGAAAAGGGTCGTAAATTCTCGCAAAGTTCGAGGTGGTGGTAAATTCTCGCAACGTCCATAATAACAGTAAATTCTCATCATGACCAACATAGCAGAAAATGCTCGCAAAGCGTAAGTCAAAATTGTGAAACACTTCAATTATATAAACTGCCAGAGAACTTTAATTTAAAAAAAAAAAAAACCCACTGGAAACATATGGGCATGGCAGCCAATACGAAGAGCTACAATGGCAATGATTTTGATTTTTAAAATAATACTTTATTAACAGTAGGCACGGCGGCCGCAAAGAATAAAAAATATAAACAAATAAAACCTTCCTTACTGTGTTGAAGTCTTCATCTAGGATGACCAATCTGGAAATCAAACAGTCACAGACAAGTCATGTTACGTACTTAAAATTAGCTTGTTAGCACGTTAGCTATTTAGTACATTTGACAACTTCCACCTGGTCTCCGTGTGCAGAAATGGCATCGTACCTGTTCAGTTCAAACAATATGGATTACAAGTTTGATGTAGAAACCCACAAAGCTGTACTTTAAACACCAAACTGATAAAATATGACTCAGTGACTAAACACATTCTCCAAACACATTCTGACGTGTTAGCATTTTTAATTTGTTCACGCGACACAAAACAAATGAATAATGATAACCGTTCTTCCACTTTGAGTGGTCTAAGATATTTAACTACAATAATACACTAAAAAAAGCCAACAACAGTAACAACAACAACAAAAATCCAATATTCACTTACCTTTCTATATCTGCCGTTCAACCTGAACAGAAGGAACCGTCATTTAGAAATAACGTCGAACACCTGCCCCTTTCAAAGCGTGGCGCAAACTTTTTCAGCGTCTGACATCACACGCCGACTGTCTTGTATTTTGGTTGTTTGTTTGTTTTTGTTTTTTTGACTGTCTTGTTTTTTTGTTTGTTTTTTTAATTGTTCTGCAAGGTCTTATTGATTAGACTACACTTGTGCCATTATATATCATTATATGTAGTTTTCATCAATTTGATATTTTGTATTCTGTTTTGTATTCTGTTTTATTTGACTTTCCCACGTCCATTCCTTTCCAACCCCAGTGGCCAATGAGGTGGCCTACTTTTCCCAACGGTGGGGGCTACACTGCTGAAGACAATAACAAACCCTGATTCTTGCCTCGTCCTTCAAAATAACCTGCTGCTTTCCCTGCACTCCAGCTCAGAAGTTTTGTCTATTGCTGAGTTCTTTGGCCTTTTTTCCATTTCGTATATTTAATGGCATTCACTAATGGCTGGCAGAGGTTTCGCTTTATGGCCTATGACTGCCATCTGCAGACGAGACAGCAGAACTGCCACTTAAATAAGATGGTGCAGTTAAGGTTGAAATTGTCCCCTTTTAACACTATTGCGAAATAACGCTGATAACTTTGTGTGTTCCTCATTGAACAATAAGGTCGAACCCCGTGCACGCGCACTTCAAGAAAGGCAGACACGCGGTTGATCAGCCTCGCTGCGCGTGGCCTCCTTTTTTAGCCAATCAGAGCATAGATAAACAGAGCGTTGCGTCATTGTTATTGTGCTTGTTAGATTCTCGGACAGACACATATATCTACACGATTTGGGACCTCAAACGCGCGGAGTATCCAAAATTACACCAGCGCCATGTCTCACCAGAAGAATAATTCGTCAGACGAGAGTTTGCAAGGTAAAGTGTGGACGTTTGTACGGTTTTAGCTGCTTAGTGATGAAGCTAGGTCGAACAGGAACAGACAATATTCTAAACTGACCCCAAGTACAGTCTGAGCTGAGCTGTCCTTAAGCAAAGAAACACCACAGTCGCATGCTAAATTGTTTTGTTATACGTGGATGGACCACTGTATGCGAACTTTAATAAATAAACCGACATCTGTACAGTTAATATCTATGTCAACATTAAAAAAAACGTTTATTTAAGCTGACATCTCTTTTTGCTTTGCTGTTTTCTTCCTGTTATCTTGACAGAAACCATTTCTTCCGTTGTTTTTAAAATCCATTGTCCTGTTTTTCTTCTGACGAGGCATTTTTCCTGCACTCCATATATTTCTAAAAGTGTATTAAAAAACATAGTATCTTGTGATAGTCTGGCTCACTCTAGATCTACACAGAGTGGATTAAAAAACAACAGTTGACGAGAGTGTACACAAATACAATTCACTGCTGGTATTGTCTTTTAGCTTTTGTTACAAGTATATGACAATACATTTGTGATTCTTTATACAAGGGGTAAATATTTTAATTTTAAATTAAGTGTATTTTTAGTGCTACTTCATTGCAGAGTGTGGAGTTAGCTAATAAATAGGCTAGCAATATAATAAGAAATCAATTATCTTCTCTCTAAGCTCTAATTAGTGGTATTTAGAGGGGCATGCATGTGTTACTGGACAGCCAAATACCTTTAGAGGTAGTACACGGTGTTTGAAAACCACTGTTAGAATGATTACCAAATGTAAAATGCATTCATGTTAATGGTACTAGGTTTATCACTACAACCTGACTGATAATCTTAGGACAGTTTGCTGATCTCTGTTTACTGTCCTGCTGTACCCTCAGCCTGTGTGGTATTTACAGCCCTGCTTACATCAGCAGAATGGTACACTGTACAGCCATTAGGTTTCACTGCCTTTTGTGTTCTATTCAAGGTTCCTGGGTTGAACTGCATTTCAGCAGCAACAACTCTTCACGTACAAGTCATCATGGGAGTCAGGAGCTGATCCCCACCTCCAGCCAGGAGGCTGACTTGGAGAAAATGCTGCTGGATGCACAGCATGAGTCGGGCAGGAGCAGCTCCAAAGGGAGCTCTCAGTGCAACAGGTATGTTGGGAAGGAGGAGGCACAGTTTGTCCTCTCACGTTGTGTAACACAGATTAAGGGGAGAGGGCTTGCCAAGTGTGGCAACAGTGATCTAAAATGTGTTGTTGTCCTTTTTTCACATCAGTCCACTCAGAGCACAGACTCCCCTTCTCCAGTGGCGAAGCGCTGAAGGAAACAGCTCGCAGGTATAATATTTCGTTGTAAATGCTTGCTTGGCAAAAAAAAAAAATCTATTCTGCTGAAACGATGCCACAAAATGATACAAGAATCTATAAACTGTATTATTACTTACATTTGTAATAATGCGCCAAGGTTAATTCAAGGGCAACTCATCATCTTCCCCACATACCCAGTAACAGAGGACTGTGTTATCCTGGCAATTCCTGATGAAGGGGTAAAAAAAGAAAATTTAGAGTTTAAAGACAAGTTTAAAAACATCGGGTTTCATGGGAGAAAGGTCAACTAGTGTTAAGTTCCCTTATCTGTCATACATGAGATGTCAAGTTCACCTTTGACCTCAACTTCCAACAGTGTAGTCAGACACGAAATTACTAATTTGCTGGATGTGCTGTCTAATTTGACTGTCTGTACTAACTAATGCTGGATGTTGTTTTCAGTCCGATGAAGACTTCCAAGAAAGAAGACGGGAAGTAGAGAACCTGATGAAAAAAAATGCTGACTGGATGTGGGACTGGTCAAGTCGACCTGAGAACAATCCACCAAAGTGTGTGATCAGGAATCATTTGATATCTCTCTGTATTTACATGCATAATTTAAACCAATGTCACTGGTCAAAATCTTTCTGCACTATATACAGAACATTTTTTCTCTTTTATCCTAACCCTTAAGGTGATTATGGAGAACATTGTTAAACCCAAGTGTTAAATGCTAACACGTAGCAGGCCTTTATAAAAACTGCACGTGTCGTGTGCTTGAGCAAAGGTGTCAGTGTGACATTAAGCCGGCACACGTTGATGTTAATGTATTCAAAACAATGAAATATTAATGTGCTTCTCTGCAGGAAGTACCCTAAGCGCTCACACTCTCTGAGCATTAGGAACACCAGCGTGATGAAGAACGGAGGCATTCTGTCTGCCGACTTTCTGAAGCTTTTTCTTCCCTCATTAATCATCTCTCACATTCTTGCTGTTGGCCTGGGGTAAGCACCATCACTTCATGCTAACTCTTGCAATTTAATAGGAGAACCAATAGTAATTCTCTAGAGGTAACTGGAGATAAATAGTTTCCTTAGCCTAAAATGTGACTGTAAACAATGTTGGGAAAATAGACCAAACAGTTGTTGTTGCATCAGCATAACAGCCACAATTCACTGGTTTCACAACATGAGCATGATAGTGTGGTGGTCTGATGTATGCTACAAGGACATCAAGGACAGGCAACCAACCATGAGTCAACATTGATGTGTATACGTCACTCCTTTTACACTGCTCTTTCTGTAATATTTGCCTTCTCTCCACAGGATATACATAGGGAAGCGCCTCACTTCTCACAACACCTACTAAATACAGTACTGGTCCATTCAAACACCTTGTCACCTTGATATTAGCATGCCTTAAAACGGGACCTTTGGAAGATCAAGGGAAGAAGTCACCTGTGTGAGTGAATGGTTCAAAGCATCACTTTGCAAAAAGGAAAAATGGGCTTGGAGGACAAAGGATATGGCATCCACACCTCATCACATACACCATCAACCAATCCTCTGCTTCTCAATCTCTGGTGGGGTTAGAACCTAACCGTTCTGCTGTCTCCTGCTCCCCCTGTCTGCACATCAAGGAAGTGAAATATATCCTATACCACTGCCTTTCTGCAATAGAAATTTACTTGAAAGTTGAAACGTTTCAATTCTGTTTTGAGCAGATCAGAATTTTTTTTTTTTTTACCTGCAAATGGTTTTTATTATATCCTAGGGATCATTAAGTATTAAAAGGCTTTGATTATTGATTGTTAATCTGTGCAATTGTAAAGCGTATACAACAGCATTGTGAGCTTGTTTGTCCCAAATGTGGTCCATCTTACATTAAATAAAAGCTGAAGATACGCTTGGTCCTGATAATGTTGTCAACGCGGGTCGGGTAGCGAAGTCGATCTACCAAAGGAGGGCACCGTGTGCAGATGAACACAATTCAAATTTTATTGAACTTTGGTCAAAGTAATAAACAAGTGAATACATTGCCACCATGTTAGGAATCAATGGACAAAGACAATGCATTATTATGCGTTCGCTTTAATGTCGTCAGTATATTTCTTGTGTAGTCATCTTTCATTTCTGCATTCACAACTACGGAGAGAAGACCCACATTTGCAGTACGCGCTCCAGATTGGGGGGGTGACGTCCCTAACAAATGAATAAGGGCACGTGTTCCAGGCCTGTCTGAATTTTCCTACTCGTTACATAATTTGGAGGCACTCTGACATAAACTGCATGATGTGCAATTTTCCTCCTTTGCGTTTTCATAGACAGCTACCTATAGCAGCAGAGTATGAGGACGTAACTATAAAATATGATTTACAAATAATGCACATGAGGTTTGTAAAACATCTGGGGACAAAAACTTGTAGCTGTCACTGATAGAAGTATGTTTTAAGGCTGCAGATTCCCTTTGTCCTCGGCCCCGTATTGTGCCTTGTAGTTTCCAGCCTGCATCAAAATACGGTTTAAAAAAAAAATCCAAAAAAAAAAAAAATCCAAATGAAAAGGGTTGACACAAACACATTATTGGTCGTCTCCCAACAGTGGTTTCTGAAGCTGTTAGCCCCAAATGCTATTCGATTTTCCACAACGGGTTTGGTTTGAGATCTGCTCAAAAGACAGTGGTGTGACTCAACATTTTTTTTGCACCTCTCTACAACATAAAAACATGCAAAGCAATAAACATGTTTTAATACATACTTCTAAAATTTAAAAACACATCTGTAGTTTTAGTTTATTTTATTATGTGGATGACAAGGTGTACTTGAGTAGATACAGTGAGTGAAATTATGTCACCGTACTGACCGGGGAGGACGGGTAAAGTAAGGAAGAGGGATGTGTTGGGGCGAGGGGGGAGGGGGTGAGGTGAGAGGGACTAGTCCACTTTCATTATTCAGGGCCTCTTCCACCAGTAGTTTGGCCTGAATACGTGGCCAATGAGGGAATGTTACAGTTAGCCTTATTGGCCGTTCATCCGCGCTTCAGAGGGCCCGAAAATCTTTGAAATGATGTTACAACTTTGACAAGACGTCGTTTAAGGGCTTCCAGAGTTCAGTTAAATCATGAAATGAAGGCTTTAAAATGTCAACACAAACACCAACGTTCAAGAGTTTGACCTCTAGGGAGTGCCATTCCATCAAACAGACCCACAAAATTGATGTTTCTGGGTCAAGGGGTGGGGGTGGGGGCTTGTTGATTGCCCGGATGCCATAGGCAAAAAACAACCTAAGCTCGAAACTCAAAATAAAACAGGCCTATGGATCAACCTCCTGTGGCAAAAAAAGTAGACACGTGCTTTCGATATTCTTCACCAGGAGGACAACCAGGCTGTTTCTTCTTATACAGATAGACAAGTAGTAGGCTTAACTACACAGGTACGGTAAAAGCCCTATCCTCTGGTGCCCCACAAAATCTCTAGTTGATTTTGTCCTGGAAAATGTACAAGTTGTTGGTGGCTGCCACGGCGATCACGTTGTCTTTGGGATGCCAGGCAGTGTGGAGGATCTTCTTGTTGAAGTCCAGGCTGTCCACGCTGATCTCGTCCTTCTTCCTCTTGCCGCCGGTGGACACTTTGCGAGGTTTCAGCGTCGCCCGTGGTTTGCTGCTCTCCCGGGATGCCTCCAGTGTGATGTCCCGCCTGGTGTTGCGGTCAAACATTCTGAAGAAGTTGTTGTACGAGCCCGTCATGATGGCACTGACAGGACAGAGCGGAGGGGGCGGGGGGTACGGAGGGGAGGGTTTAGGTCAATCCAGTGTGAACGACGATGTATACGTTTCCACTAATATTGTATAAATCGTGAACAACAAACAATCACTGTAATCAACACAATTGCATTCTAACCTGTCGCTGCCATTCCAACAGCACTCAAACTTGTCAAAGATGCAGTCATTCTCATACAAGGAGCAGAGTTTACTGCGAAGGTATTCATGGACCTGGAATACATTTTGAGAGTCGACATTCCAGTTTTAGTTGTCAAGTCAACAATGAAACCATCCGTTTCAAAGAGAAAAGACATATAGGGTTGCAATATAAATACTGAAAATATATAGATACACACACACTATATATACACATATATTATGTAATATATACCTTTATACATACAGTACATATATACACATACATGTACTGTATGTACACATGTGAGTTTGTGCAAATAATTTATATATATATATTTATTATATATTTTTGGAATATTTTAACTTTTACAAGAATATTCCAAAAATATATTGCATTCCCTGTCAGTGTGGACATACATGCCTATTTTTATTTATTTATTTAGTTTTTTTATGAGCGGTACAATTTCTAACAGTAAGGAGAAACTGCTGAAAAAATGAACTGCTAAGAGTATCTATATCTAAGAATATCTAAGAGGTAGACAGAGGATGTCAGTGTTCACTCATCTAACACCTATTCCTTTGTTTGGGGGTTTCCCCAGCAGTGGGTGCAGATGGGGTTAAACCTCAGACAGTTAGTTAAGGCCACAATGAAGACAAAAAAAAAAATCATCACTTTCACACCTGGTTAATTTGGAGTGAAGAACTAACCTAAGAAAAAAACCCCAGCAAACATCATACAGGTTTTGTCCAGTCAATAATACTACAGTTTTTTTCCTATTAGCAAACTTGCTTATAGCGTGAGAGACAAAATACCCAACACTGCTTTACCTCAAAAAAAAAAAGAAAGAAAAAAAGAGTTCACTCACCTGATACGTCTCCACTGGTCTGTTCTCCATATTTAGGTCCCAAACTTTGACGGAGAGGTAGTCACGTGTCATCATGTAGCGTCCGCTGTGACTGAACTTCACGTCTGAGATGGAGGAGATTATCTCAGAGAAAAAAGACCGACTGCTCGGATCCTCAGGCTCCTCGAAGACTGAAAAGTGGAAGAAAGTCCGGTTATTTCTAGCACTGGATCGTGCACTGTTTGTTGTGTAAAACTTTCTCATCCCGTCCTTAAACTGTACAACAATAAACATGACCTCTTTATCGTTTCAAAACGCATAGAACTATAATACTTTTCTCTTGATCGTGATTGGACAAACGCGACACTGACGGTACTCACACTTCGAGTGCCTGTCACAGAGGGCGGCTGCTCGCATGTCACACAGGCGGATGGTGCCTTTGCTACTGCTGTACACGAATACATTGCATTGGTGTGGATGGCACTCAGCAGCTGTGATTACTTCCGTCAGTTCCTCCATGTTGGCGGGCTTGATGTCTACAATATCTGAGAAGAAGAGTTAAGGAACTGCCGCTGGTCAGTGGTGAAGCAGACAACCACTGGGGGACAAAGCATTATTGTCACGCCAGTCTCTCTCCGACATTGAAAAGGATACTAAAACTTCTGTCTGTGATTTCCAAGTGCCATAGATTTATTCTTAGGTCATCTGCAGAGAGGTACGTTTCATGATCACTATTTACAGAAATGGAATTAATGTGATAGGTGTGTGCATTTGCAAAGATCCTCCGGGGGCTTGCTTCTACCATGAGATCCATTGGCATCAGTACTGGAACCTGTAGGAAAAACGGAAAAAAAAAAAAATTGTACTTTTTGTTAAACACAACAAATGGAAAAAAATAATTGTACTTTTTGTTAAACACAACAAAAACAATGCCACGTTCGGCGTTAAAGACAGAACACGTACCCGTAAAGAGGTAATTCTAAAGGGGTCTCTGAGTCGTCCATCTTCATCTTTCAGGTTGTAACCTTCCGCTCTTTTATCTCTTTCACTAATTTTCCACAATTTGATAGTTTTATCTGACGGCACAAAAGGAAAACCACACACAGGTCAGACTCATGAAGAAGATAAAATGGCATTACAAAAACATACCAATTAAATAAGGAAATGCAACTCACCATTAGTAGAAAGTAGAAAGTGAGCAGCGTTTTGTTGGGGTAGCCATCTGATTTTATTAATTTTTTCCTCAATTTCTAAACTTTTCAAATAGTCGAATTCTGGCTCGTGACTTTGAAAAGTGCTATAGACGTTGTATTCTCCACGCAGGTGTGGACGACTCTTTGACTGGAAGAGAAAACCCAAACGTGAGGTCACAACTTTGGGCAGCACATCTGTCACAATTGATCAACGACCAGTTGTGATCATCATGAGACATTCACGGGTACAAATCACATTTTATCGACAGAAAGTGAGTTTAAAATTAATTCCAGGAAGTTGTTGTTAATTTCCTCAGAATGAGCCCTTTGAAAAGTCATTAACATATTCCCATGTCCCTCTGGTGAAGGCCACGGTGGACACTTTGTGGTTACATTACAGGAGGCAACCACATTATCTCCTACACTGTGGCAGGAATGATGAGACGAGGGACATTTAAATCACAACGTCCAACACAACACACTGTACGTGAATATTGCAATTTTGTGTGTTTTCGATGCAAGAATCAACATTCACCACAAAATTCTGCCTCTGGCGTCCGAAAAAAAAAAGGGTAAAACCACAGATATCCATGTATATATATCATTATTGCTAAATTATTGGTTATTACAAAAATAAGAGGAATAACAGTAAAGCCTTTTGTTTCCAGGTAGGAACTGAGAGTGGGCTTTTGGAAAGATGTAAAACATTTAAAGTAAATACTGTACATAAAGCCAATTGTTTCAATTTTAAATCAAAAATTTAAAAATTAATGCACAATTTAAAAAAAATACTTTTTCTTGAGTCTACTCCACATTTACATATTCAATAAAATATTTAAAAACCATTTAAGGTACAATGTGCAATACTATAAATAATAATAATAATAATTTTATATCATCCATCACTACTTAAATTACATTCTTTATTTATTATAAAACGCTGGCGCTGATTTAAATATGTAATCATGTATTACTCCAAAAGAAGCATTTTAATGAGGATAGACTACAATGTTTAATCTCAAACAGTGTATTTTAAGGCTATTCGTCCCACAACATTTGACTGTGTTGATAAAACTAGAGTTTAATAGTTAATTAAATTAATTTAAAAAGCAGGCTCCACAATAGAGTTCAAACTAAATGAAACATTCTGCCAGTAGTAGCACAGAAAGATTAGCTTTGTCAATAGTAGACATAAACATTTCATCTTCACTGATTTATAATCTATAAAGTGACAGAAAGTTTGTCCTTACCTCCTGTTCATGTTGGAATATCACTACTCTGCCGCCTTTATCTCCAGTAGCAAGCAGTTCTCCAGAATAGTTGAATTCAACAGTTGAGATAATGTCAGCTAAAAAAACACATCCACACACACCAGTCAGAATCACTGCTAATTAGCCTCAATGTTATCTGTGCTGACAGCTACAAGCTTGCTAACGCCACACATGACACTTAGGTAAGAGGGAAATACACCAACACGCCCATTCGTGTTATGAATGAATGAAAACACGCATTATGTCACTTTGACAATTTATGGACGCAGAACATTGACGTCACGGACACGGTCGCTCCCCTTTAATAGCCTAGCATCAACCTAGCATAGAGCTAGCTTGGCGGTACAGTCATTTAAACAGGAAAGGGCGTTTATTCAGCCGATCCGCTGACAAAGTCGCGCCGATTAGGGCAGCTACCTTCCAAACTGCTATCATGTACCCCATAACTATCGTGCATATAAAGTGGAAAGCACAGAGCATCATCTACATCATTTAACCATCCTGTTAGCTTCATGCCGCTCTAGCCTACCCGACAGGCTAACGTTAGCCACATACCTTCCGCAACATCTTCATCTATCGCTCCTTTGACTTGAGAGAAACACCACTGGAAATCATTGCCTCCTGCAACACCTGTGGAAAAGAACACACCGTTAGTTTCTGTCTGATTCGCGTTTCTGGAAAATAAAACGCGACCTAGCAGTGGCTTAGTTTGACAAGTAGCAAGCTAGCTCTGCAGCGCTAAGTTGCAGAATGAGGCCGTCACACACACCAGAGTGAGGTGGATCCTTCTCCCTCCCTTCAAAACTATCTTACCCGCCATTGCTTCATTTAGCGGCTCTGGCTGTACACAGCTTCCAACGCCAAACTAAATAACCTGGCTCCGCTTGTGGACACACAAAACATCCACAATCAGTGTGAGGACTTCGGCTCCTGATCTGTCAAGACCACGGAAATTATCCGTGATTTTTTTTCTCTTCCAAAATGGCGCACAGTACATGGAGAAATGACGTCATGCACACATGCCACATCCTGACTCCCTCCATCCTCCCCAGCATCCTTTCACCAAATCTGCATTCAGCGCCTGCTGCACCGATCCTCATTTTATCACCGTTATATTTTAATTGAAATGTGGACTTGAGTCTTGAAGTCAATTTAATTCAGCAAAGGACAGTTTTATTTCCTTGGTGGTTGCGACATGTGACACCCACTTCAGGCACCTGCAGTACGGTAAAAGCCGAGTCTGACAAAAATTACATATACAACAAAACTTTTCAATATTTTACTAATTAAAGTGCTCTATTTCCTATTGTGGTATGATGAAATGTTCCGATTATTTAATTTTCCGTCGAGTAAAATGTTTTCAGATACAAAAATGACCAATATAACTTTACATTTTTTAAAAATTAATTTCACTCGTTTGTTACGTTCTAAACTTCAAAAGTGCAGCAATGATGCTATATCGAAGCTAAGTTAGTATTGTATGGTCAACGACTGACATCTAGTGGGGAAATGATGGAATTGAAATTGTGTTTGATTGCGACTCATGGATTCTGCTTTACACTTGAACGTGAAATACATTTAATATAAAAATAAAAACTAAATTAAAACTTCATAAAGAATATTTGCTTCTTACAAATATGTTTGTCGAAGTCAATAAACACTAAAACACTTAAATTCTAGGCATTTAAATTTAAGTGCTCTGCTGCTTTACCTTTCCTTCGAGATATTGCGATAACACTGTTGATCCTGACATGAAAATATCTTGTTACATTTTTTATTTTTACACTTTCTTAATTAGAAAGTGATCCGTTTCATCTACTGCCAATCTAATTTAAATGGCTCCCCTCAGGAAGATGACTCACCATGATCCACAAAATTAAAAAAAACAAAAAATAAAACAGTTTTACTATGTGTATTTAATTGAGTAACCTGGACGTAAATGATTGGGATTGAATTTCAAGCTTCCCAGATTTTACAGCCTGTCTTTCTTAATTGTTGTTTGGTGTTTGTTATGAATGCAAAGTTCATTAGTCAGCCAAGGAACTAAAACAAGTATGCTAACAATGTAGCTAACCTATCCTAGCTTTGGCTAATATATTATTTATTTCTTTATATATGCTAGATACTACACAAACAGACATTTAAATAAACCTGCAGTTTTTTAGGGTTCTAGATTTCGGAAGTTTTGTCACAGTGGTGCAATACTGTGAATGAAACAACAAAAACCAGAAACAAAGCACACGAAACTTTTGTTGTCGCTACTTCTTTCGTAGTCTACATCTACTCCTTTGTACTGCGCGGTGACCTGAAAGTGCTTCCTACCAAAAACAGAATAATTTTTAACACAGCTCTGGGTCACTACTACATCACAATAATACTATTTCTGTTGTGCTTTTGTGTATTGTCTGGTGCTGCAGATTGCCCTGGATGTGGGAAGTAAATAAATAAGGATGTAAGACCTGCCAGACCTGGACCAAATCTCACCAAAACCTTCTTCCCAGTATCTCCTGAGCTCCACATCCCCCTCATCATTCACACATTGTCCCTGGGGGAGAAGCAGTGCACAGGCCTGGAGGTTAGAAATCTATATCTTTAGATGTACTCTGTGTGCCGGAGAGTGTATATATATATATATATATATCCTAGTATGTGTATATACTACACCTAGTATATACTCATACTAGGATGTTTTACAGATATTTTGTTTACTTATTAGATTAATGCCATATTTCAATTACAAATGCTAATGAAACAACACATTGTGTGTTTCAGTTGAAATCTGTTTTTTTAAATTCAGTCATACACTTTACTATGAAACAAAAGAATGCATTCATTGTGTCCTCTAATTATGCTTTTTTTGAATGTTGTTGTTTTTAGCCCAGATAACAGGTGGCGTCATTGAACGTGTTTTTAAAATCCTGTTTGTCCGACAACAGACAAAAAGTACACAAATGTACTTCTTCCTATACAGGTACTCGTACCTTTACATACTGAAGCCTCGTTTACCACCTAACACAATGCATGTCCAAATTGTTGTGTGCATCACATTTCTACTAGTTGAGTGTTGTGTATGAGTGAGTGAGTGAGCGTGTGTGTGTGTGTGTGTGTGTGTGTGTGTGTGGTGCCGTGCCGTAGCTTCATCAGGTATAAGGAGAGGTGTTGACTTTATTCCGAGCCTCCAGTAACACCACTGACTCTGATAGTTCCCCGTTCCTGTGGGGATTCATTATAAGACAGCTAGAGGCTGCTTGTGGATGGTTACTGTGCTGCCCGTATGTTAACTTGTCGCTATCGCGCAAGGCAAACATGTGGTGCAGCTGCTTTCTCTGGCTGTGGGCAACCTGGAGAGATTGATTGGTGAGCCTTCTGTTTTATCCAGGATCAGGGCCACATTCAGTAGACACGGTGCCTCCGGAGAAGCAGCCATTTCCACCAGAAAAACATGGCTCATTACCAGCACAGACAAAATCAAGGTATATTGACTTTTTAACATCTTACAACACACCTATTCCTCAGCCGTTTAACAACCAGCCTTTGTGTTCTTGGAAATCCTTTCTTTTGTTTTGTTTTTTTGTTTTTTCTTACCCCCACTCCTCCCGTTTTTATCCTCCACAGCCCTGATGAGCTCATCATGCTGAAGTTTCTATTTGCCAAAATCAAGCAGGTTTAAATGCTCACGCTGAGGCAAGGCCCCTTAAAAACACATATATTTATTTGCACCGCAAACACACACCCCCCCCCACACACACACCTCTGTTCAATCAGACAGTTTTTACCACGAACCGTTGGCCAGTGGATGTGTCTACTGTGCTCTGGGGCATAAGCTCTGTCCAGACCCTCGGTCTTAACTCTCTCCTCTCTCTCTCTTACACACTAAACACACACACATACACAGACTGAGAGTGAGAGAGAGAGAGAGTGAGAGAGAGATGGAGAGAGCAAAGACAAACACAATCAATTATTCAAGACTCTTGTTTTGGCCTGTTGTTTTTTTTCTTCCTTTCTTTCTTTCTTTTTTCTTATTATTTCTGTTCTGTTGTTCCTCTGGCAAATTAACCGCCAGGAGGCCCGATGAGTGAGACATGAGGCCTGATGACTTCAGGTCGGTGTGTGTGTGTGTGTGTGTGTGTGTGTGTAATTTAGACAGCGCAGGATCATTTGCATGCACAGCCTTCCACATGTCTGAAGGTGATCGTCCTTGTGGCTTTTCCAGGACTGAGGCTTGTCAGGGAAGCTGCGCGGAAGACAAACCTTTGCCTCTCCATTTATTTCCCACTTGAGTTGAAATCTTCAGCGCGGTCCTTCGTTGTAGTTAAAGCTCGCGCCGAAGCACACGGGCAGTGAGAATAAACACACACGCCCCACCCTTTATTATTTAAAAAAAATAAAAAGTCAATTGCATGTCTTTGCCAGCTCTGTACTTTAAAACTATAAGTAAGACACAAAGTGCAGCTCATGTGGACCGACGTCCTTCAGTGTGCATACGCGAGCACTAGATGGCACTATGGCACTTATTATTCAATGCCAAAGGCTCATTTCCATTTTGGAGGCTGAGAGTGCACTGCTGACAGAAGGGGATGATCACATATGGCTTGTTCTCCCAGAGCTGATGTTGATGGTATTATGGGCTCCATATGCACATATATCACATTTATTAATTTACTGCGTGACCTTTAAATGCAAAGCAATTGTTGTACCCATCCGCGGAGATATGAAAATATCAGACCGGAGCGGCGTGGACGACCAAAGTTTTTTGGGGGGTCACGCTCATCATCACGCTGGCTGGAGTTCAAACAGTTACAAACAAAGTAATGACTCTGTTAGAGAACAAAAAAAAAATCTTCAGAATCAATGAAAAACCAGGTGGAGATTTATTAAATGTAGATCCTCGCAGCAGTGATGTCCTTGTAACAGATCATATTGTAAATAAGGCGGGTTAAATTGCACTTGTGTCGTACCTCCAAACAGTCAGGCGATTCTCTGGAGGCGACGGGAGAGAGTGCCGCAGACTCTTCCTCTAATAACGACAATGAGATCCCAGCTCATAAGGTAAGGCCTCCACTATATAGAACAAGTATTGGGGGCTTAGCAGCTAATAAAGTGGCAAGTCTTCAAATCCATGTCAGAGGAGCGGCGTGCCACAGGGACCCGTCATAACACTTGTATGTGCAGGTTCAACTGCAGTGTAAAGGTTACACGTCCACATTGTACTGATCTGACATGATGAGGTGCCTTAAGCCTCACAAATTTCAAGGCCGTGTTTCTTATTTAAACAAGCAGAGCTGAACGATTCTCCCGGCCTCTGAAGGATGAGATGAGCAATGAACGTTTGAGGTGTCGTGCAAAAAAAAAAAAAGAAGAAAAAAAAAGAGGAGGATTGACAAAAATTTAAAGCTGCCAAATTTAATTTGAATCTATAACTCTGTTGTTTTGTAGACGTGTTCTGTGAAGTACGAGTTCAAATGAAAAGAGCCATCAGTTGCGTTAGCGGAATCCCAGTCATTTGAGTTGGGAAAACAGTCGGCGTAATTAGCATTGATTGCCTCGTCTGTCTCATAAACGCTCCCTCTCTCCTGCTCCGGCTCTCTCTCCAGTGAACCTGTCCTTCACTGCGGCTCAGACACTCCTCCAGCATTTCCACCCACTTTGTTTGTGGCTCTTTGATCCACAGTATTCCAGTTAAAGTTACACCCATGTGCTGCAAGTTGAAACTTTCAGCATTGTTGCTCAGGGGAACCTTATACCCGTGGCGCCTCGTGCTTTTGTCCTTCCCTTTAGCAACAGAACTCTTCTATGGTCCGCGGACAAAAGACTACTCACGACACCATTTTACGATCTCTGTGATGATAGCGTTTCCTGCTCTTACTTGCATGTTAGCTTCGTCTGCTTATCTGATCCACAGTTATAGTGTCAGGGTTAAAAAAAAAAAGAAAAATCACTAAAGTTGGTGATGTGGCGCAAACGACTGCAAAAAGAAATCCTGCATTTTAACTGCAATCAGCGC